GTTCCTCCTATACATAATTTTAAAAGGCGAGCATAACATCAAATTTATCGGCTTCATATACGCGACTCTGATTGGTTGAATTTTACACACTTTTGGATACAAGGTTAGGTTAGGTTAGTCTCGATATTTAGAAAAAGAGAGGATCAAGCATTAATCTCGATTTTCGCCATTCTAAAGTTGTCAGCTCAGATACGAAAAAGAAATCAATGTGATAATTTGTTTATTATTTATTGTGGAATTTCTCTACAAACATGACTTGCACATGTTAGGAAAAAATAAAGAATGTTTAGATTTTAACAATATTAAATGTAGAAAACAACAATATCTTCCATATTATTGATAAAAATCTTAAGAGAACCGTTGTGAATCGGGCATTGCCATCTTTGCATGTAGTTCCATAGACTGTCCCATTAATACTATTCTAACCTCTAGGTGCTGTAAATGCTCCCTACAGGCGTCTCCTACCCCCAGCCTACGGTGACGGTAATTATCTACCAAGAGGAGTAAGCGAGTTCAGTAAAGAGCACGGATATGTCTCATCCCTTCCTTCCCCTAGAAAGATTTCAGATACTGTCATGGAACAAGGAAATGAAACATTGACAGAGAGTAGGTACGTATTTTAAAGATAATTGGAGACCACTTTATGGTTCTTTCATTAAAAAAAACTAAAAATTTTTCTTCGAATGTTTGTTCGAAAAAATCGTTTGTTCAGCAAATACACCATCGTTTTTAAAATTTTTTTTTTTTAATTGTTAATTAAGTAAAAAAACAACTGTTTCTTTTCCAAATCTTGATAGAAATTTTTTGTTATCAAAACCTTAAATTTTTTATTATTACATAAATGATTGCTTGGGTTTTTTTTCAACGGAGCGCTTGGCGGCGCTTTAATATAGAATAGAAAATTCAAACATCATTGGAAATATTACTATGTTTTATTAGAATTTTAAAAATAAATACAACTTTTGATAATAAAAACATTTAAATGGTAATACAATGCATTTTTATTTATAGTGTTGCAACACATATGGTTATGCAATGGGGACAGTTTATTGATCATGACATGATGTCAACATCTAAAGAAGCTTTTGACTGTTGTGATCCAGAAATAAGGTAACTTGTAATTGCTTTATTCAAAAATGTTTATTTTAGTAATTTTCTCAAAGATAAATTTGAATTTATTTGAAGCCATTTTCATAATTCAGAATTATTCCACTTTTTAAATCATTAAATCAGAATATTAAACCCGATATAAGGTTCGAATTGTTTTCTTTATGAAATTGGGTACCCTTCTTTGCCAGGAAAACTATGAATAGAATGAAAAAATAGGGAGTAGAGCGGCTAGCTAGTTTACTACTATTGCATTAAACAAATTTGGTAGTGCATGAGATGTAGTTTTAATAGCTATATGGTGCCATATATCAACTACCTTTTGATTTTTCTTCAAAGGACTAAACTTCTTAATAATAAATGTAAATCTTAAAATTGAATCTGTTCATCTTTTTTATCTCTCACTCTTTAATTATCTCTATATCTCTCACTCTTTAAACCTCTCTATACCTCTCACTCTTTAAACATCTCTATATCTCTCCCTCTTTAAACCTCTCTATATCTCTCACTCTTTAAACCTCTCTATATATCTCACTCTTTAAACCTCTCTATATCTCTTACTCTTTAAACCTCTCTATATCTCTCACTCTTTAAACCTCTCTATATCTCTCACTCTTTAAACATCTCTATATCTCTCACTCTTAAAACATCTCTATATCTCTCACTCTTTAAACATCTCTATATCTCTCAATATTTTCCTGATATTAAAAAAATAAACCTCAATACTTTATAATCTCTATTTGGAGAGTTAGTTTTAAAGATTACAGAAAACAGACAGCCTAAACGGCACTGCTGATAATTCTTTTATACCCAGTGCGCGCCTTGAGGGCGCGTTTATGAGTAAAAAAGAGTTCTCGACAAATAAATGAAACAAACAAACATTTGTTTACAATTTAAAAAAAAATCATATATTCTAAATTTTCCCCACCAACCAGTTGCTTTAATTAAATAGTTTTTAGTTGTGATATCTTTATCTTTATAATAAAGCTCTCACTTTGCCAGGAAAACTATGAATAGAATGAAAAAATAGGGAGTAGAGCGGCTAGCTAGTTTACTACTATTGCATTAAACAAATTTGGTAGTGCATGTAGATGTAGTTTTAATAACCATACGGTGCCATAGATCAACTACCTTTTGATTTTTCTTCAAAAGACTAAACTACTTAATAATAAATGAAAAACCTTAAAATTGAATCTGTTCATCTTTTATATCTCTCACTCTTTAAACACCTCTATATCTCTCACTCTTTAAACCTCTCTATATCTCTCACTCTTTAAACACCTCTATATCTCTCACTCGTTAAACCTCTCTTTATATCTCACTCTTTAAACCTCTCTATATCTCTCACTCTTTAAACCTCTCTATATATCTCACTCTTTAAACCTCTCTATATCTCTCACTCTTTAAACATCTCTATATCTCACACTCTTTAATAACCTATATATCTCTCACTCGTTAAACCTCTCTATATCTGTCACTCTTTAAACATCTGTATATCTCTCACTCTTTAAACACCTCTATTTCTCTCACTCTTTAAAAATCTGTATATCTCTCACTCTTTAAACATCTCTATAAATCTTACTCTTTAAACCTCTCTATATCTCTCACTCTTTAAACACCTCTATTTCTCTCACTCTTTAAAAATCTGTATATCTCTCACTCTTTAAACATCTCTATATCTCTCACTCTTTAAAAACCTCTATATCTCTCACTCGTTAAACCTCTCTATATCTCTCACTCTTTAAACATCTGTATATCTCTCACTCTTTAAACACCTCTATATCTCTCACTCTTTAAACACCTCTATTTCTCTCACTCTTTAAAAATCTGTATATCTCTCACTCTTTAAACATCTCTATAACTCTTACTCTTTAAACCTCTCTATATCTCTCACTCTTTAAACATATCTATATCTCTCACTCTTTAAACACCTCTATATCTCTCACTCTTTAAATATGTCTATATCTCTCACTCTTTAAACACCTCTATATCTCTCACTCTTTAAACATCTCTATATCTCTCACTCTTTAAAAATCTGTATATCTCTCACTCTTTAAACATCTCTATAACTCTTGCTCTTTAAACATGTCTATATCTCTCACTCTTTAAACACCTCTATATCTCTCACTCTTTAAACATCTCTATATCTCTTACTCTTTAAACCTCTCAATATCTCTCACTCTTTAAACCTCTCTATATCTCTCACTCTTTAAACATCTCTATATCTCTTACTCTTTAAACATCTCTTTATCTATCACTCTTTAAACATCTCTATATCTCTTACTCTTTAAACATCTCTATATCTCTCACTCTTTAAACATCTCTATAACTCTTACTCTTTAAACCTCTCTATATCTCTCACTCTTTAAACCTCTCTATAACTCTTACTCTTTAAACCTCTCTATATCTCTCACTCTTTAAACATCTCTATATCTCTCACTCTTTAAACATCTGTATATCTCTCACTCTTTAAACATCTCTATAACTCTTACTCTTTAAACCTCTCTATATCTCTCACTCTTTAAACATCTCTATATCTCTCACTCTTTAAACATCTCTATATCTCTCACTCTTTAAACATCTCTATAACTCTTACTCTTTAAACCTCTCTATATCTCTCACTCTTTAAACATCTCTATAACTCTCACTCTTTAAACATCTCTATATCTATCACTCTTTAAACATCTCTATATCTCTCACACTTTAAACATCTGTATATTTTTTACTCTTTAAACCTCTCTAGTCTATATCTCTCACGCTTTAAAAATCTTTATATCTCTCACTCGTTAAACCTCTCTTTATCTCTCACTCTTTAAACACCTCTATTTCTCTCACTCTTTAAACATCTCTACATCTCTCACTCTTTAAACATCTCTATAACTCTTACTCTTTAAACATCTCTATATCTCTCACTCTTTAAACCTCTCTATATCTCTCACTTTTTAAACATCTCTATATCTCTCACACTTTAAACATCTGTATATTTCTTACTCTTTAAACCTCTCTATATCTCTCACTCTTTAAACCTCTCTATATCTCTCACTCTTTAAACACCTCTATTTATGTCACTCTTTAAACCTCTCTATATCTCTCACTCTTTAAACCTCTCTATAACTCTTACTCTTTAAACATCTCTATATCTCTCACTCTTTAAACATCTCTATATCTCTCACTCTTTAAACATCTCTATATCTCTCAATCTTTTGCTGATATTAAAAAAATAAACCTCAATACTTTATAATCTCTATTTGTAGAGTTAGTTTTAAAGATTAAAGAAAACAGTTGCCTAAACGGCATTGCTGATAAGCTTTAAAGCCCAGTGCGCGCCTTGAGGGCGCGTTTTTAAAATAATGAGAATGATGCATCTCAAAACTTGCTGAATTCCGTCAATTTCCTTCTTTGTCTCTGCTGAACAAATCCGCGAGTCTTTTTTATATATAATTAATGATTAAGCTGAAATGATTATCTATCTATTTAGCTATCTTTCATAAACTTTCTTTTTGGCGAAGATTAAAAGGGTACAGCTGTGAATCGAACTCTCAGAAAATAAAAAGTCAATTGAAATGACCTCATCAAAAAAGCTTAAAGGGACTGTACGCGTAATTTCAAGAGATCCTCGATAAAAACATGACAATGCCCGATTTACAACAGTACCCTTAAAATCGTTGTCTGATCAAGTATGAATTAGATATCCATGTTTTTGTTTCTTTAAACTGTTTATTTTCGTTTGCGGTTTCTCTGCGAAAGTGACTTGCACATTTCTTGTTTATAAAAATCAATGGATAAATACTTTTTTGATTATATTGAAGTTTCAAGGGTACCGTTGAAAATCGGACATTGCCATCTTTGCACTTTAAATTAATCTGACAATTCCTTTACATTTTTTTTTCTAGTTCTTTGAAATATGCTGAACAATTTAACACACAATCATCTTTTCTTGACGCTTCTCACATATATGGAAGTAGCAAGGTAAACCAAACTTTACGGTAAACTTTAGATCAGATAATCTCCTTCTATTGTTAACTTTAATATAGGAAGCTGCTGATATGCTTAGAGGAGGCAAAAATAGGAAAGGGGGAAGGCTTCTCGGAAACTCAGTGGTATTAAAACTTTTTTATAAAATAGTAAAACTAAAGATTTTGCCATTTTTTCATTTTTTAAATTGATTTTGAAAGTCAATTTTTTTTCTTGGATACAAAATAACAAACCAAATGTATATTTTTTATAGCTGCCTCACTTTCTGCCGAGCAAGTTTGATTTAAAGATGAAAAGTAAAGAACATGATCTTGGAACCGATTTTGTGGCAGGAGATATGAGAGTAGAAACTCAGGTTAACATTTTTTAATTATTTTCATAAAATTAGAATTATTCAATACTTTTATCTTTGCAAACTGATGGTGTAGACCTTGGATATTTACAACTATCAATTATAACGCCAGATCAATCAAACTTTGAAATATCAATGGTTCAAACCATCAAGTTGCACAATTCCATTCTTAACAAATATGTTTAAAAAAGACATGAAACCAGTGTCCGAATTTAATGAATTTAAGCCGCGTCTCAAATCCCCCAAAAACCGGTTTCAATTGAGCGCCGGCTTAAATCTTGAAAAATTAATACAATTTTAAGTGGAACCACAAAAATTTGAGCCACGGCTTAAATTTAAACCGCGGTTCAAATTCTTTAAATTAAGTCTCTGGACAATAGAATATTTGAATTTATTAAAGAAAAAATAACGTTTATTGAAAAATTTGGATGTCCCAACTTGCTTTTGGATAGAAGAATAGTAATTTAAGTTTTTTTTAGCGATAGTAGAGCATTAACTTGTTTTGATGTTAAACTCCTGCACGTTTTCCTTGAACATTGAACAGTATATAGCGATAAACTATGCATTGGTTAAAAATATATTCTTTTAAAAATATCAACAAATGTTTTCGTTCATAGTTTGATATATTAAAAATAAACGTTTAGTTAGTGGAAGAAATATTGAAATTTTTTTATTTAAATCGAATAAAATTGTTTTTTTTCTAGTCAAGCTTGACTGCAGTGCATAACCTGTTCTTTAATGAACATAATCGGATTGCAGATGGTTTATACCAGGTTTTTTTCAATATTCATGAAATTTAGTATTTATTAATCAATGTATTATATCCCAGCGAGCATTTTAAAATGTCGCAGAATTTCTTTACAGTCAATAATCGAGATTTTCTGAACTCACAATTATTTTTTCTGACTGCAGTGTCTTTGCACCAGTTCTTAGATCCACTCTGCGGGGGGGGGATATTAAGTCTCGAAGAAATACAAATTGTTAAACAACATTTTTTTTGCGTTTACTCCTAAAACAATACAATCTTAATTTAATGCGTATTTACAACCTTAATAATTTGTTATGTTTTAATATTGTTTTCATAAACTATTATTGAAACTTTAGGGAGGAAGGAAAAGCACAGGGGGGGGGGGAATGCTTGTTTTGTCCAAACAACCAATTACCATCAATTTAAAATGGCATTTACATAATTTAGGAATTGAAGAAAAGGTATTCCATGCCTGACACCGATCTTGATGAATTAGTTTTCCAGGTATTTTTTAAACATAAAATCAAAAATTGACTTGAATTTGGAATCAAAAGTTTTTGACTACATTTCATTTCTTAAAAAGAATAATTTTTAGAAATAAAGAACGTTTTGTTTGTAGTTACGAGCAGCATGTTTCGTTATGGTATCCCTAAACTTCTGTTTATAATTTATAAATAAATGTTCGCTATTTCTGAATGTGCTACGACACACCATCAACTAAGCTTTCGGTCCTTTCTACAGTAAATTCAAGTACACTGACCAAAGATAAAGTAGCGTTTAGTGGAGAGTAAACTCTTTGATTTACATATTTGAAATGTTTTTTAACAATATGTATCTCATTTTCTGTAAAATATACTCATCTTAATTTTAAAAAAGTTTAAAATATTACCAATAAATGTTTTAACTATTGAGGAAACTAGAAGACTTGTGATTGCTGAGATTCAAGAAGTGACCTACAGAGAATTCCTTCCAGTGGTAAAAACACTAAAAAAATTATTATTTTTTGACGTTTCATATTTAGAAAAAACAATTCCAATTTGGGATATAAATTTGAGGTTTCCCTTTGTTTGATTTTTTATAAAAACAAACCGTCTTAAATAATTTATTATGTTTACTTAAAAATTAATATTAAGTTTTTTGTTGTTCTTTTTTAATAAAGTTAAACAATCCAAAAAAGACTCGTCCAAAACATTTGAAATTCTTTTTTAAAGCAAATTTTTAACATCATATAAAACAGATAGGTAGCCAATGTATAATTAGGTTTAGATGAAATGTACATTGTCAATCATCCCTCTCATCCATCCAACCTTAGCTGGGAACTTTTGTGTTGGATGCTCCTCATCCACAGATCTTGATATCTACTGTGAGCACTTTTAATTTGAGGATACATTTCTATTTTAGTTTGTCTTTATTGCAATAATGCAATAAAAAGTTTCCGGCTGTGGTAAACCCCTTCACAGTTCACCTACTGGGTATCCCTCTTTCTAAAATATCTGAAATCTTTAAAACAAATATCGATTATTTTTTACTCTTTTTTTCTTTTATCAGAGTTAGATAATTCATTTCGGAAATGATTATACAGTAAGAACCAGAAAACTCTGAAATAGGGAGATGACTTTCAGACTCAAATCATGAATAGTCCAACGAACATGAGACACAGTAATTATTCACTGCAAACAGACCCATTTAATCTAATAAACGATTTCATAAATGTCGTCTTCCTTTTCCACAGTTTTCTGGTTCTCACTGTATCATGTTTTCCAGGTTTTGGGTAAGCAGGCAATGATAGAAAACAAACTTGAACAAACTGCAGAGTGTATTTACAATCCAGAGGAACAAATCAAATCATAAAATTAAATTAAATAAATCCAAATAAACAGAGATTAAGGCAGGGGGATGATAGTTTTCTACCTTTGTGCTCAGTTAGCGTACTGTACACTTTGAACTGTTTACTAAGAATTTGATTTTCAACCAGACTGATCCATGCATAATTAATGCATTTGGTGCTGCAGCTTTCAGATTCGGACATTCACTGATACAGAGTATTTTTAGGTCAATCTTATATTTGATAATTCAGAATTAGATCAACATAAAGCTATATGTTATATATGTATTGAAAAAAACCGTTAGCTTTTCCTATCATTCTGTTCTTGACTTCATGACTGTTCATTGGATTCTTTCAGAGTTTTATGATATTTTAAATGTGTTTAAAGATTTTTTTTAAAAATATGAATTTTTAAAAAAAATTTATCAATATTTTTATTTTAAATTTAAGATTAAAAAAATAATTTTTTTACAGTTTAACCCGAAATAACATGGATTACCATTTTACAGCCCCTGTAATCTTTTTCAATGACTCTAAAATATGCTTTGGTCCATAATTTGAAGTTTTTAAGGGATCAGCTAAATAAGTTTTGTCGTCCGATTCTTCTGTTTTTCCTGCAATACACATTTTAATAGAATAATAAAAATGATCAATTGTTGAAAGTGAACACAGAGGTTTTCGAACATTCGACATATTTTTCCGCCAAACGAAAGCATCATACAACAAATTGTTACTTAAACGACCCCTAAAAACAAAAAAATACCACAAATTGTTACTTAACGACCCCTAAAAATATTAACTACTTGCCAGTGCACGTTTTAGAGTCATTCTAAAAGGTTATTGAAGGGACTGTAAAGGAAAATGAATGGGGGTATTGGCTGAAACCTAACTTTGTAGTTGATTGAGACCCATGAAATTTCTATCTGATGTTCCTGTCTTGAGAAATTGATATAAATCTGTGTCAAATTTATACGAATTTAATAATTTTAATTTTTGATAGATATTATTGACAATATAATTATTACGCCTGAATCATGTGACCAAAACTCCCACCAATAGCAGTGCAGTAGTATTGTCACGTGTCTCTGTCTGTATCACCTGACAGTATACTGCATAGCCATTGGCAGGAGTTTTGGTCACTTGATATTGACGTATAAATAATATTATCAATTATATCTATTAAAAATTAAAAATTATTAAATTCAAATAATAATAGAAGCAAACCTAAGTTACTTAGGCATCTCTGGGATATCGTCGTTTTCAGATTGGTTGCGTATTTGCGTATTTATCTCTACTATTTCTATACAAAATTTTATGTATATAGATTTTTGACACAGCTCTATATCAATTTCTCGAGACAGGAACATCAGATAGAACTCTTATGAGTCTTGAACAACTTCTATAATGCTTAGCTTTCAGCCTATACCCCCTTTCATTTTTCCTTTACAGTCCCTTTGAGGAGGATAAAAAACGCTAATTCCTGTTTTTATTGGGTCACATTGTGTATAATATGTTTCGGACATACAAACAAACAAACAAACATAGATTACTACTTTATAAATATAGATGTATAGATAACAAGATATACATTATATTTGTATTGTAGGGGTGAAAATCAGCCCTGGAGATTAGGCAAGTTCTTTGCAGACAGTAGGTTTGCTAGAAGTGAGGGAGGAACTGCTTATGTTAATGAACTGAAGGGACTAAGTAAACAACCTTGCCAGGTTTTCAGAATTTTAAATTTTAACATCTTTGAGACCAAATTTTAATAACTTTTGGTTTGATAGATTTCTGGTTTAAGCTTTTAGAGGCTTTTTTTGTGCAAAACCGAGAGAAAATATAATGCAAATATGAAAATCAAAAATTGAAATTAGAAAAGCAAATAGTTTTAATAAATATATGTGTTGAGTGCCTTTTAGAAGCAAAAATCTTGAATTTAAAAATCTATGAAAATTAGGTAGTCTAAACTATAATTGCCAAATCTTAACATTTTAACAAAAATTAAAACTTATAATTTTTGGGAATTTTATTTGATTAGAATCACCGGAAGGAAAGGACTTATTTAAAAGAAACCTAAATTTCAGAGAGCTGATCTTCATATCTCGCAACAGATGACGCAAAATCTTTTCTGTAACAACCAGGTTTACAATTTAAATAATTTTTTACATTTTTTGTTTACACATTGTCTTGTCGTCCAAATTTCAATTTTCTCCATTGTTTTGGAAAAAGAAGAATTCTGTTAAAGGGAGTTTTCGCGAAAAATGAAAGGGGGTATAGGCTTAATGCGATAAAAAAGCGCTTTTGATCGCTACTAATTTTACTTCTATCTGTTGCGTCTATAAGGAGAAAATTGTTAAAGTCGTCTCATACCGAATAACTTAGCGCCCATACAAATTCAGAAAATTGCAACATACAACTTAGACCGTAAAAAATCAATTTAATTTTGAACAAATCATTTAGATATTACAACCTATAGTCATCGATTATCTTTCGCCACATTTGTGTATAGTTTATATTTTAGAATATTTTTTAATTAATTTTATTTTTTTAGAAAACGTTTTAACGGATTTCGAAAAATGTGAGTGGTGCGCGGCCTTCTTAGATAGTTGCGCAAGCGACAAGAGAAATAATCAAATTCAAAACAAATTAATTAAAAAATATTATTAAATATAACCTATATAAATGTGGCGAAAGATAATCGATGACTACAGGTTGTAATATCTAAATGATTTGTTTAAAATTAAATTGATTTTTTTACGGTCTAAGTTGTATGTTTCAATTTTCTGAATTCGTATGGGCGCTAAGTTATTAGGTATGAGACGTCTTTAACAATTTTCTCCTTATAGACGCAACAGATAGAAGTAAGATTAGTAACGATCAAAAGTGCTTTTTTATCGCATTAAGCCTATACCTCCTTTCATTTTTCGCGAACACTCCCTTTAAATAAAAATGTACATGCGGAATAAGAAGAATTCTGTTAAATAAAAATGTACATGCGGAAAAAGAAGAATTCTGTTAAATAAAAATGTACATGCGGAAAAAGAAGAATTCTGTTAAATAAAAATGTACATGCGGAAAAAGAAGAGTTCTGTTAAATAAAAATGTACATGCGGAAAAAGAAGAATTCTGTTAAATAAAAATGCGGAAAAAACTTTTAGCTTGGACAAAATGTGAAAGAAAGCATGACTGAAAAATCAAAATTAAAAATGTAAAAATATCAATTATAGGTTGTTTTGATAATAAAGGATGTGTACCATTTTAATCAGCAGAATCAAAATTAATTTTTTAACAATAAATGCCCCCCATCCACAGAGATCTAGAGAGCTATGAAAATTGTGCATTAATTTACTTAGGGCATTGCCATCTTTGCATGCAGGGTCTCTTTAAAGTACACTTACAGTTTCTTTAGCCTATACTGTCTAAGCAAGTTTGTATATTATTAAGACAGCGCCTGGAGGAGGACATGATATTGCATCCTACAATATACAGAGGGGTAGAGATCATGGTATACCAGGATATGCTAAGTTCAGGTGATTATAACTACAATTTTAATAGACACGAAGTTTCCATCTTAGATCTATCAATTACGTCAACAAAAGATTACTCCTAATAATTTAATTATTTTTTTTTCAGGGAATTGTGTGGGCTCTCTCCAATTAAGGTATTTTTTTCCGACAAAAATAAAATACTTTGGAAATGTTCTGTCATAACAAAATTTGCTGACACAAAATACTTTGGTAAAATTGATTTCATCGACCATTGTTTCGTATATTAGACACAACAACCCAACACACAGAAAAGTCGAATATCTCCCATAAAGAATTCTATGTACTGTGATGTGATATCCAGAAAACTCTGAAATGTTTTTATACATTGATATCCCAAAAACTCTGGAATAGGAAGACGACTTTTAGACACCAGTGATAACTTTAAATAGTCAAATATGAACATGAGAGACAGCAATTGTGCACTGTAAACAGAACAAAATAATACTTTACAAATACAACTACTTGCTCTATAACAACATTAATTACACTTAAATGTTTTCTTTCATTTCCACAGTTTTCTAATTATCACTGTATGAGTCTAGAGCCTGAAGGAAACCCCTGAAGGAGTAGATCCAGCGTCTTGGAGTAAAATACAATCAGTTTATGGTTCTGTTGATGAAATAGATTTATTTGTTGGAGGGCTGGCTGAAATACCAGCGAAAGGTAATATCTTTTGAAACTCAGAACATAATAATACTATTTTTACATGAATTAAACTGTGATATAATTTGATCTTAGAGATTAAAAATGTTGTTGTCATCAAACTATTTTTAAAGTTTCTTGGTCAAATTATCACTGAATTAAAAGTTACTGAAAGAATTGGATTTTAATTTATTTCAATGTTTTTTTCATTTTGAGAGGGTTTTTATGCAAATCAAAATTCTTTTAAGATTTATTTTAAAAGTTTGTATTTTTCAGATGGTTTGATTGGTCCAACCTTCGGGTGTATTATTGGTAAACAGTTTAAAGCATTGATGGAAGGAGATAGATTCTTCTCTCACCATGTAGGAAAGTCGATTTTACTTTTATGAAAGGAATTGAGTCTTTGCAACAAACTCTGATTTTCTAATCCCTATACCTTTGAATTCCAATTTCGTAGACCTTTTTCATTTCAAATCATTACTTCTGTTAGATCAAATAATATAAGTTTGAAATATCAAAGGTTTACGACATTGAGTTTCAAAGATATAGGGATTAGAAAATCTGAGTTTGTGGCAAAGAATCAACTCTTTTTCTTTAACAAAATTCTTTATTTTCTTTGTATTTCAGGGGGACCAGATATTTTTCCCCTCAAAGGTAACATTTTTATTTTTGTACTTTTGTAAGAACTAGAAAATTTTGGAATAGGAAGACGACTTTTAGACTAAAGTAATGACTTTAAATAGTTCAAATGATAGTAAAAAGGTCCATTTCACTTAATCAGCGCTTTAATAAGTTACTAATGAAAATATTTGCGTTTTAACAACATTAAATACGCTTAATTATTGCTTTTAAGTCTATTTCCTTTTCCAAAGTTATCTGGTTCTCACTGTGTTTTGCGTAAATCTTTTGTGTTCAGCTGTTGCTAACTTATTTCCTAAATTGACTTGATCATAAAACTATTTATCCTTAGATAAAGAAATAGAATAGATAAGAAACGAGATGTTTTTCAGGATTTGTCAAAACTGCTTTAAATGTTTTTTTACGTGATATTATTTTCGCGATTTTATCGATTTTGCAAAAGTTATTTCTTAAAAAGTTGGAAATTTTATTTCTCCAGGGGCTGCAGCGGCAGGGTTAGGATCTCGGACCCTAGCTGCTATTATCTGTGAAGTAACCGGAGCAGATAAACTTCCACCAAACGTTTTCCAGGTAAACTAACTGGATTTCCAGGTAAACTTACTGGATTTCCAGGTAAACTTACTGAATTTCCAGGTAAACACTCTGGATTTCAAGGTAAACACTCTGGATTTCAAGGTAAACCTACTGGATTTCCAGGTGAACTTACTGGATTTCCAGTTAAACACTCTGAGCTGAAAACTTTAGAATGGTGGATATCGGGATTAAGGCTTAATCCACTCTTTTTCTTAATCTCGAGATTAAATATTGCTTGTTCTCCTCTCATTTTTAATCTCCAGATTAATTATCCGATCAGGATTAAGGATATCCCATTCTAAAGTTTTCAGCTCTAGATGTCCAGGTAATCTTACTTGATTACCTGGACATCACTGGATATTACTCACTGGATATTAAGGTAAACTCACTAAATTTCCAGGTAAATCAAATGGATTTCCAGGTTAGCTTACTGGATTTCCATGTAATCTTACTTGATTTCCAGGTAATCTCAATGGGTTTTCATGTAAACTAACTGGATTTCTATTTAAACTAACTGGATTTCCATTTAAACTAACTGGATTTCCATTTAAACTAACTGGATTTCCATGTAAACTAACTGGATTTCTATTTAAACTAACTGGATTTCCATTTAAACTAACTGGATTTCCATGTAAACTTACAATATTTCCGGGTTAGANTGCTAATAGTTGAAATTGTGGGATTTGCAACGGAAAATACGGTTCTTAAGTTCTTAAGTTTTTTTATGAAAAATTATAATGATAAAGTTTCAATAATATTTAAAATGAACTGAATAGTTTGTTGTGACTAATGAATATTCTGAAATTAGTTTCGAGCCAGCAATAATCAAGTTTGGCACAGGAATGCATTCAAACTTTACATCCTTTAGTTTAACTTTCCGGCTCAGCCAACTGCAAATATTAGAGTTTAAATATCTGAAATTAAAAGATATAATGTGTAATAATATCATGTTTATAGTTTAACAGTAGTTTGATTTATGGGATTGCATCAAATGATAAAAACAATATTTACATTATATTGATACTTAATGCCGGTCTTTCATCTTGAATTCTTCAAACATTCCAGTGTTAAAAAGGGAGTGTATACTCGTACTTTCAAATATCTCTCCATTTAAAAAGGATCATGTTCAATATGTAACCGCGGTACCTTTTTTATGTTTTTTTTTGTGGATGAAAATTGATTATTTTTAATTGTGGGTTTCCAAGAGTGGTAGGCGATTATAACAAAACATTGAAGACGCTTTTTTATATAAATTTTGATTGTTAACAAGCTGTTTTCGTATTACAAGTTTACAAGTAATCAAAGAGAAGCTTTTTAATTAACAGATTCGATCTTAACTTCTATGTATGTTTATGTGTATCCATGTTGTTTAAAACTTGAAATAATAAAAATTGAAATTAAAAGTCGTCTTCATTGTGAAGATAATCCCATACCGCTATGTAAAGTAAAGTACCTTTGCTCTGGAATTCTAAGCAATAAATCGGCTTTTTCTCCGGTCATAGGCATCTTTGAAAAGTAAGACTAATACCATTGAATAGCTTATAGGCAATTAGTTTACCAGAAAATTACCTAAATAAGTGAACGGTCCCTTTATAATTTTTGAAAAAAGCTAATTTATCAAAGATGTTAATCAAATGATTTTACTATTCATTTAGAAAAATCGTTTTGGTTAATTTTCTTCAGGTCAGAGAAACAATTTTGCGTCATAAAAGCAAACTAATAAAGCAGGCTATTTCAAAAAAAGTATGCTCATCTTGGATTCTTGTGTAGCCTCTAAAAAGAAAAAACTTTGATTGCTTTAAAATGGATCTCAAAATGGTGCCCATCAGTAATCTTAAAATAATCTTAATTTTGACTTATCTACTACGCTACATTCTACATATATTCAGTTAATTGATTCTACATATATTCAATTAATTGATCCTACATATATTCAGTTTATTGATTATACATATATTCAGTTAATTGATCCTACATATATTCAGTTAATTGATTCTACATATATTCAGTTAATTGATCCTACATATATTTAGTTAATTGATCCTACATATATTCAGTTAATTGATCCTATACATTTATTCAGTTAATTGATTATACATATATTCAGTTAATTGATTCTACATATATTCAGTTAATTGACGAAGCTGGGATGAAAGCCTGCAGCGAGCTACCAAAACTGGATTTAATGAAGATTGCTAGTGAAATAGAAATAAATTAAAACCAAAAATATTGAATTAATAAATTGAGATTTTTATTTTCAAAATCTTTCCCATATCCTGTTTTAAAGTTTATTCTTTTTGGAATAAATAATTTGATTAATGTATGTAACGTATTATCATTTGTAATACTTTCTTTGGTTTGCTTTTTGATAGTAGTTAAAGAAGATTAATTAATTAAGTTTAGAATTTAATGCATTTCTATCATATTTAGTCGAAATATTAGATTAATATGTAAAATGGTCGGCGTTCATATCAATACAATTAGGACGATTTTTTAATTTAAGTTTTTATTGCTAACAAGCTTTATTAAAGTATACAAATAAAAGCTGTTAATTGACAGCTTCTCTTTTTCCATGTTTATATGTTATGTGTATCTATCCATGCCGTTGGAAAGCTTGATTGGACCTGGACTAACCAGGGCGAGATATGTTTCTGCAATTTGAATTTTCACACTTTTTCATTTGCAATATTGAAGCCTTACTTGAAATACCATTCACATTACATACATAAAGAAGGATTTGGAAAACTAGGAAAGCCAAAATAATCTGGACAAGTAAGATATCATAACCATTGAATAAGACCTGAAGAATAAGAATATAAGAATATTTATGTCACCAATTAAATCAGAAAATTTTTTGAGAATGTACATTTATTAGAATGTCAAAAAATTTGAGAATTGATGGAAACATCTGTGTTTTACTTTTAAAGCAAATTATTTATTAAATATTACTCCTGCAAATTATTCAGGTCACTTTTTAAAGAGTAGAAAAAAATTTGAAACAAAAATTTGATTTGTTTTTAGAATTTTTGGAAACTGCATTTTGAAAGAGCGTCTGCCATAGATTGCCAGTGGTCATCAGCTCCTTCAGGTGGTGCAGGAGTCTGGAAAGCTTCTCGTAGTTTAAAGACCAGGTCCAGTTCACTGTGTCATAAACTATTCCTAGAACAAGTACTTTAGTACTTGGGCCAAAGGACTTCTCTGGGACATCTCTGGGCGCTAGTTTTATGCCAAGAGAATCTGCAACCTCAGCAAAGGTAGCATCGAATAGCTCAAGCGAGTCAAAATTGGGACTGTTGCACAACAGTCGTGCTGAAAGATTTTGCTGGTTGGGAATTTGGATTTAGCAGCTGCAATGTGCACTACTACTTTGGCCACTCTGTCGAAAATACCCGCACTGCTAGTGCAACCAAAAATGAGGCAAAGTTCTTTAAAGGCCATGCCCAACCAAGAGAACCATTGAAGGTCTGTGTCTTCTGGTCTTACAGCTATGTGTTTGTAGGCGTCAGCCCAGTCAATCTTGCACATTTTGGCGCTTTTCCCAGCAAGGTGAAGAGCTCTGAGCCACTTTGTTGTGGAGGACATGATGGTTGGGAAGTCGTCTTTGTTAATGCCCTCGTTGACGCAGTTGCCAACAGGTGAACCTGAACTTAGGTTCAGAATGATGCGCACGGCTCCTGTAGGTTTTATTTTGGTCATCATGCCATTTATTTTAGCGCCCGAAGGGACATGTGCTAATGGAACAGGACCATTGGCAAATTTCTTCGTCGTCAAGTCTGCAACAGCATCTGTCACATGTTCTGCGAATTCGTATGCACTAGGGGAATTAGTTGAGAAAGAAGGGAGTCTGGAGGAGCCATTGCAACCCAGGTTGGCACCGTGCAGCAGATCATTGTGGATTGTATCGAGCAAGACTAAGTCGACGAATTTTGTTTCTAGGTCTAATTTTCTCAATAGATATGGGTCTACCATCGATTTTGAGGGTTGCACTAAGTTTGTTGGGAAATTGTCCCAGAATTCGGATGGAGCTGGTTTCCTATAGTTTTTAAGTAAGGGTAGATTGTGTTTTGGCTTGAAGATTTTCGCAGGTGGTAGTGGAGGAATATCTTTTGACGATAGCCTTTGGTGTAGTAATTTAAGACTATGCATGAGATCCATGGTGCGACGACTGATTTCTAAACAGTGGTATAGGTAATTAATATGTTTTGGTGGGTGTTAAAAAGTGAATCTTATTAATCGTGCAAATCTAGATTGTTAATGTCTGTATTTGTTTTTGTTGACTAAAATCAATTTATTAGGCTGGAAATTACTGACAAAGTTCGTTTTAAATGTCGTCTTCATAAAAAAGATATTTAGATTTATATGTTAAAACAGAGGATGCTATATCGTTTGCACTAAGTTGGCCGATTGAACTAACGTACTTTTGCACTAAAGTCAGCTGATCAGTAACCGGTTTTTAGTACGATCTAACTATAAGTGCAAATAAACAAAAATCTGATTTTCTGTGTTCGAAATTGGACTAAAATTTTATTTTCCCGCCAGGAATATTTTATTTTCGCGCTAGGATTATTTTAGTACAAATGATCAAATTAGTGCAATTGATCTGGAATACTAAAAATATTTGTTCAAGCGCCCTATTTTTTTTCTGTAAATATTAGTGCAATTGAACTATAATAGTGCAAATGAACATCTCCAAAAAAAGTGTTAAAATGGACTAATTTTTCTTTTCTGTAAATATTAGTGCAATTGAACGTTAGTGCAAATGAACATGTCCCAAAAAATATTTGTTCGAACGGACTAATTTAAAAAAATATATTATTAGTGCAATTGAACGTTAGTGCAAATGAACATTGTCCAAAATAATTTTTTTTCAAATCCGGACTATTTTTTTCTGGAAATATATTAGTGCAATTATATTGTTAATTTAAGGGTAATTGGTGAAATTTTAGATTTATATAGTTCGATTGAACATTTTTTTGTTCATTTGCACTAAAATATGTTCATTTGTACTAATAAAATTTTATGGGCAAATGGTAAAATTTTAGATTTTAGTTCAATTGAACATATTTTTGTTCATTTGCACTATAAATATGTTCATTTGTACTACTATTTTTTTTGTGTGAAATTTTAAATTTTAGTTCGATTGAACATATTTTTGTTCATTTGCTTTAAAATATGTTCATTTGTACTAATAATATTTTATGGGCAAATGGTGAAATTTTAGATTTTAGTTCGATTGAACATATTTTTGTTCATTTGCACTAAAATATTACTAAAAATATTTTAAGGGCAAATGGTGAAATTTTAGATTTTAGTTCGATTGAACATATTTTTGCTTATTTGCACTAAAATATGTTCATTTGTACTACTTAATATTTTATGGGCAAATGGTAAAATTTTAGATTTTAGTTAGATTGAACATTTTTTAATGTTCATTTGCACTAAATATGTTCATTATAGTACTAACATCGATTTTACCGGAACTTTTAGCTTTAGTTCAATCGAACATTTTTTGTTCATTCCCACTATACAATACCCAGCAAGACAACGGACATCAAATTGACATCTTTTTAGAGTTTAGTGACGTCATTTTGACATCACAAAAAGACATCAAATTGACGTAAAAACGTACCCACTTTAACGTCAATATGACGTCATTTTAAGACGTTAGATTGATGTCAAATATCCTAAAATTATGTCAATTTGATGTTTGTTTGATGTCATGTTGTATGTTTTGTGTCATCATAATGACATTATTTAACGTTACAATACCCAAAATGAAATCCATATTTACGATACCTAACATCTCAAAGACATTAAAATAATGTCACTTAACATTTAAATGACGTCAAAATTATATCTATAAACATTTTAATGACGTTTCATTAATATAGTTTTACTCTTAAATGACGTCAAAATAATGTCAATCAAAATAACGTCCCTTGTACTAAATACAAATGNAAGACTAGAAGACTAGAAGACTAAAAGACTAGAAGACTAGAAGACTAAAAGCGTAAATGAGAAGACTAAAAGTAAAGAGAAGAGAAGAAGAAGAGAAGAAAAGAAGAAGAGAAGAGAATAGAAGAAGAAAAGTATAGAAGAAGAAAAGAATAGAAGAAAAAGAAAAGAAGAGAAGAAGATAAAAAGTGAAGAAGAGAAGAAGAGTTGAAGAAGAATAGAGTTAAAGATTAGAAGAGCAGAAAAAAAAGAAAAAGAAACAAATTAAGAGAAGAAATAAAGAGAACAGAAAAGATTTTTTATTAATAAAATTGATACTATGGTGTGACCTATACCTTTAAATATTTAGAATAAGCCATATAATCGTTTTGACAACTAAAACGTGTTTATCTTGTCGAGTGTAGTGTCTTGACTGCTCCAGTGCTCAGTGGCCAGTGCTGGGCACTGGCTTATGGCTGAGTATGAAACTTGCCGTACTGGCAGGGAACTATTCACCGGCGCTGCCCATAGAGCCCCTGACCCGGCTCGAATGCCGTCTACAGCTAGATCCCCCCCTTCCCCACTCTACCCNTGGTTATGTGGTAGCTGGTGTAGGTCCGATATTGCAGTAGGTCGGAAAGTTAGTAGGTCGGAAGTTCAGTAGGGGGGATATTGCGTATAGACGATGTAACATTACCACGTCTTGACTGCTCCTGACTGAAGAGTGACGAGCACAATGCCCTAAAAAAATTATTTAATTTCAATCCTCGTCTTCGATCTAAAAAACAAAGACGACAATGTGTGATGAAATTTAGTTCTAAAATCTTCCTTGGCATTCCTAGTTTCAATGCGCACTGTGTACTGTATAACGCGGTTAACTCTTCAGCCCGGTAAATTGTTGTAGATAATTCCGTATATTATGGCGTAGTATATAAGGGTCTGTCCTAGTATAAAAATTGATAGGAGGGGGGTGGGGGTCCAAAACTGTGACACGAACAGACCTCCAATTTCAACAATGTTGAACAAAATTAGTATATATTTATGGTTAGATTAGGTTTAGACACTTAGCTGGGCCGAGTGCTGCGGCTGACAGGCTAGGGGGCTGAGGTCGTCTCCTTCTGAATTTGACAATCGATTGATTTTTGTTTTATTTAAATAAGCTTTATTTTCAGATTACACACTGTGTATTGAAATGGCGGTTAAAAAGAAAACGAAAAAGGTTGAACCTGAAAATGCAGGTATGACAGATAATGCATCGAAACGAGGGGGGGGGGGGAGTAAATCTTGGTTTTAGTGGGTTAATAAGTTTTGCTGAAATATCGTGATTAAATTGTTATCTCTTGTAAGGAAACTCGAGTAAGTTGGCAAACATGTCCCTGGACGATTTTGTGGATAACTGGGACGAATCGGATTCTGGATCAGACTCCGCTTCTCAACCCGTTCCTCAGACTAATGGGAAGAAGGAGAAGAAGTTGATAAAGAAGAAGAAAATAGAAAAGGGGAAGAAAAAGAAGGAGAAAGTTAAAAGCAAGGAGAAAGATGAGGATGATAATGAATCTGAATCTGAATCTGATGATGATACAACTGGAGCCAAGACACAGAAGAAATATATAAAAACTTTGAAGCAGAAAGATCCAGAATTCTTTGAATTCCTGAAGGTAAACTTTTTGCAATTATTATAAAGGGGAGGGTGAGTTTGACCAATTTCAATACATTTGGGAATCTTATTTTCATTTTTTTAAGAATCTGAATGAAATTTTGTAGATGGGCATCATTTTCTTTTAAGTAAAATATAAAAAAGTCGTAAAATATATTCCCCCCCCCTTTTTTTAACACCTTCCTCCTATTTTCTTCCTATTTTCCCCCTATTTTTCATATTATCCCACTTTTTAAATATTTTCAGATTTTCTGAATTCATGAATTCATTTTTCATCGAAACTTAAAAGATCTTTTGCACGCTCGCCTTAATTGGACAGTATTTTTTAAAAAAACAAACGAAAAAGGAGAAAAAATATTTTTCACACTTTTTCCATGTTTTTTAAAGTTTTTTACCAATAAGTCTGATTCAAAGACAAGCTAGGTCTTTTAAGCACCTACCTGTTAGTCATGAATCTCATTACTAACATCAGAACGAAGTTCAAGATTTATCAAATCACTTTTTCCCCCTATTTTATCATATTTTCCCACTTTTTTTATTATGTTTTATATTTTCTGGATTCATGAATTAATTTTTCATCAAAAATTCAAAATTCTGTTGCATGCTAGGTGTTAACATGCACATTAACATTAACATCAGAACGAAGTGTAAGGTTTATCTCCCATTTTATCATATTTTCCCACTTTGTTCTGATGTTAGCAATGAGATTCTTGACTAACAGGTCGGTGTTAAAAACACCTATCTGGTATGTGAATCAGACTTTTTGGTGAAAAAACTTATGTAAAATAGGTGAAAAGGGGGGAGAAAATATTTTTTCCAAAAATTTTTTATTTCACTTAAAAGAAACACAATGATGCCCATATGCAAAATTTTATTCAAATTTTCCAAAAAATGAAGACTGGATTCCCAAATGTATTCAAGTTGGACAAACTCGCCCTCACTTTTGAACATTTATTTTATATAATTTTAGTGTTTTGTTTATTATTTAAAGTCTTCTAGTCCCACTGACTGAAATATAATTTAATTAAACATTTATGAAAGACTATTCTATTGTTTTAGCTTAAATATTAATATTGAACTAAATCAGCAAACAACCGGTGATAAGAATTAATGAATATCAAGAAGTAGCTGAACTACGTAGACCAAGTTCATCTCTTTAAGTGGTGCATTATAATATATGTGATTCAACTACGTCTACAAAGTTAAAATATTTCTCGTTACTCACTAAATCTGGTTCCTCGTACCGAATTTAATGATTTTGAGCCATGTCGCTTAATTACCTACTGCCGGTTCAAATTTGAACCACTGATTCAAAGTTAAAGATTCAGGAAGGATTTGAATCCGTTATTCAAACTAAACTGACGTCATTGACTCCGCAAATTCATCAAATATGGTCCCAGGGGAATAAGTTTGCGCAACACATTCTAAATATGCAGAAAAAAATTTTTTTAATAAAATTTATGTTACTCAAAACAACATTGAGTTAATTACATTTGATATATAACATTTTTTTCATTAGGAGGAGGATCAGGAATTGTTGAACTTCAATGAATCTTCTGATGACGAGGCCGAGCCCGAAAGTGGCGACGAGGAAGCTGTTCACTCACTTCCGGACAAACTTGAAGTTCCCAGCGATGAAAGTGATTTCGAAGATGATGAGAGCGAAGTTAAATCTGCAAAATCAGGTGAATATTTTCATGGAAAAATTATATTTGACAAACTTCTTTTTATGGGGGGATGCGTTTTATTCAACAACTACTAAATTTTTTCCTATCCAAAATTTCGTTATCCTAACTAAAATCTTAACAAATTACTTTGTTGCAGGGAAAGTAACCCAGACAATGATATCTGAGTGGACGGAAGAACTGGAAAACCAACCAACACAGAAAACTATTGTAAATGTTATTGAAGCATTTAGAGCTGCAGTCTCTACCGTAGGCTCAGGTTAGACAACTTTCAGAGCCAGGATCCTTTCAAATTAACAAGTGTATTTGAGACGTACTCTGTATGTCTCGGCGCATAATCTAATTTTACTATGCTTTCCATTTTATTTTGCTGACAAGGTTCGTGTTTCACCGTAATGAGGATAGCCACAGTCGGAGACATCATATATTAGTAAAAAGCACTCTCAGAAACTAACAATTGTTTACGTTCCTTCTCAACCCTACAGTAGTCGATGACGGCTCCGACCGTCTGCGTTCTAATTATCTGATCAGAAAGGAGTGTATAGTACAAACCATCTAGAGCTAGGCCATACTTTTCTCTCTCAAAGTACGTTCATAAAAATAACTACTTAGTGTACATTATACTAGTGTGTCACTATTGTGTAACTTGTACAAGTGTATATATTTAACGTAACGTGTACAAGTAAGGTAGAAGGTCTTGGTCTCCTAAACTGGGATTTAGATTTAACTACAATTACTATTAGGATAAGTGTATACAGGGTTACCCACAAAGAATGAGACTTCAGAGACGATTGAACGAAAATACTGTCTGTTTCCTACCTTACATTCACGACTTCCTGCAACTATAAACTTGTTTGTTTCTTTGCCAAGTTATTAAAGAAGACATTAGGTTACTTTAACTAAGGCAAAATACATAACCCGGGGACTATCATAATTTAAGAGTTTCCGGTCGTAAAATACAATAATTAATAACCGTGTATTGTACAATGTACATAACTAAAACAACTGTGTATTGTACAGAGTACATGATTAATAGATGTTTATTGTACAGAGTACATAGCTGATAAATGTTTATTGTACAGAGCACATAATTAAAAACTGTTTATTGTACAGAGTACATAATTAATAAATGTTTATTGTACAGAGCACATCATTAATAGCTGTTTATTGTACAGAGTACATAGCTGATAAATGTTTATTGTACAGAGCACATAATTAATACCTGTTTATTGTACAGAGTACATGATTAATAGATGTTTATTGTACAGAGTACATAATGAATAACTGTTTATTTTACAGAGTAAATAATGAATAACTGTTAATTGTACAGAGCACATAATTAATACCTGTTAATTGTTCAGAGTACATAATTAATAAATGTTTATTGTACAGAGTACATAGCTGATAAATGTTTATTGTACAGAGCACATAATTAATACCTGTTTATTGTACAGAGTACATAATAAATAACTGTTTATTTTACAGAGTAAATAATGAATAACTGTTAATTGTATAGAGTACATAATGAATAACTGTTCATTGTACAGAGTACATAATTGATAAATATTTATTTTAAAGAGTACGTAATTAGTCCCTGTTAATTGTACAGAGTACATAATGAATAAATGTTTATTGTACAGAGCACATAATTAATACCTGTTAATTGTTCAGAGTACATAATTGATAAATGTTTATTGTACAGAGCACATAATTAAGAGCTGTTTATTGTACAGAGTACATAGCTGATAAATGTTTATTGTACAGAGCACATAATTAATACCTGTTTTTTTTACATAGTACATAATGAATAAATGTTTATTGTACAGAGTACATAATTAATACCTGTTAATTGTTCAGAGCTGAAAACTTTAGAATGTGATATTCTTAATCCCGATCTGTTAATTAATCTGGAGATTAAGTTCATGAGGAGTATAAGCAATATTTAATCTGGAGATTAAGAAAAAGAGTGGATTAAGCATTAATCCTGATATCCACCATTCTAAAGTTTTCAGCTCAGAGCACATAAGTAAAACCTGTTTATTGTACAGAGTACATAATTGATAAATGTCTATTGTACAGAGCACATATTTAGTAGCTGTTTATTGTACAGAGTACAAAATTAACCACTGTTTATTGTTATCAGGAGAGGATGATAATGAGCCCCGGAAGTTTAGAGTTGAAGGCGGAACTGTTTTCAACTCAGTTGTCCGGATGTGTGTTCTCAACTTGCAACCTGGACTTAAAAAATTCCTCAAACAGGTTTAGATTTAATTCTACCCTGTCAAATAGAAATTATAAAAAAATGTCATGGATTTTTTTTAATTGTAATGTTGCTCAACTTAATTTTTGATAGCGCTCAGTTTGCTTAGTTTCATCGAACGAACACCATATCCACAGCGTAACCTCGTAACCTTTTCAAATAAAAAATTTACGTTTTATTCCGGGGACCAGTTGAAAATCTACAGGATATAATGAAGGTTACCTAAATTAAACCACCAGGGACCATATCTAATGAATTTTCATGGTCAACTTCCTACCACTGGTTCAATTTTTAATCACCGATTGAAATCCTTCCTGTATTGGCGGTTCAAATTTGAACCAGCAGAAGGTGGTTAAGCGACGTATCTCAAGTTCATTATATTCGGTCCCTGGTTGGATGGAAATCGACTAAGTGGAGTTAAAAAGATAAAATATACATAAGTTTTGACTTCAGGGCGGAGAGCAGGATTCTGGGTTTAAACCTGAGAAAACTAAGAAGTGGAAGAAGATTGAGAAATGTATCCGAGGATATTTGACCCAACTATGCAGTTTGTTGACCAGGATATCAGAGCCTAGTGTTGCTGCAGCAATCATTAAACACGTTCATCAGATGATCCCTTTCTTCCAGGTACATGGGTATTTTTTCTATGGGTGGGGAGGGAGTGGGGGAGAAATTATAAATTGGAATAAACTGGTCTGTTTTCCCCTTGATTCATCTTTAGTATTTTAAAACCTTTAAATTCATAAGAACTTGAAGAGGGGAATGATTTTTTAAGAAAATATATTCCCTAAGGTTATCAACTTATTGGGCCGATAAGGGTTAGAAACTAAATACGTGCCAGATTTAAAATCCGAAATAAATAAATCAGATAATTCTTTTCTTCCAGATAGAAAGTTGCGGGGTGTATATTTTCTTGAAAAATTATCTTTCAAAATCATTTTTTCTGTTGCCAGAAGTAATGTTTTGTTTTTAGGTTTTGGCTCGCTGAATTGGGGAAAATAACTGAGTTTTTAGAGGTGGGGGGGGGGGGTTAATTTTTTTGATAAAAGTATTAAAAAAGAATGAACAACTTGCCTTTTGATGTACAATTTAGCCATAAAAAAGGCAAAAGTTAAAGATCTCAACCATTTTTTTTTGTATTTAGTGACGGATTGGTATACTCATTTTTTTGGTATTAAAAAAAGTATTAAAAAGAATGAACAACTTGCCTTTTGATCTTCAATTTAGCCTGGGAAAAAGTTAAAAGTTAAAAATCTCAACCAATTTTTTTTGTATTTCCAAGGAAATTCTTATTTTTAGGCCTATCCTAAAGGAGAGAAACAGTTGTTGGTAAAAATGATTTGGTGTTGGGGCCAAGCTGAAGATACAGTCAGGTTAGTTCACCAAACTAGTCTCTATCACCTGTTTAACAAGTAACATTTTTAAAGTTATCTTTCGTGTTTTTTTATCTTCTTGTAAACTTCTTTCTCTTTTTGTTAACTTCAAACTTATTTCACCTCTTCTTTCTCTCGTTCTTTTTTCTTAATGTTTTTTTTCTTTCTTTCATTTCATTGCTTCTTTCATTTCTTAACTTTATTTAGTTTCCACTCTTTTATATAGAACCCAGAACTTCGTCGAACAAATTTATAAAATGTCGTCTTTACAATTTTAATAATTGTAAACATAAATAATTAGCCATGAAATATGCGGGAACAGTTAAAAAGAGCTCATATAGTTATTCAATTAAAATCTAAATATCAGCAGCATTCCATGATCAGCTGGTGTGGAAAACGACATTTTATAAATTCTACCGGTGCCTCCGAAGTTCTGGGTTAAACCTTTCTTACTTTCTCATAGTTTTGTTTGTATCCAATGTGTAATGTGTTTAGAATACTGGCATTGATGTGTATTGTGAGAATAGTTCGAGGATCAGCTCTACTCGAGACAGCTATAAAACAGGTGTTTATGCAAACATTTTCTGTCATTCATTCGTTAATTTGTTGCTTCGTTGATTCCTTGACTCGAAGATTTGTTAATTCATCGGTTCATTTGTGTAGCGCCCTGAAGGCAGCCTGGGGTTTTCACGTAGGGTTCCCTTTTCAGATTTTAACTTGATTTGAGTTTTGGTGATGGTGCATTAGGATGATTCATGGGAAATGAAATCATGAACATTCCTTGACATTCAGAGACAAACGACATTTATAGACACTCGACAATGGACATTTATTTGCATTTATTTACATTCTGTCTTATTCATCGACATTCTTTAAAATTTAGTAGTCATTGGTGTTCCTAGTATCGACATTTGATCAGAAATTCAGACTACAAAATATCTAGAAATAACAGATTCTGTACCTAGATGTACTTACATAAATAATTTTTATCTATTTTATTGAATTATGGGTGGTCCGCAAATTACAATAATAATAATATCGATGTATAAGATTTAATAAGAGTATCCTAAAGATTGCATAGCAGCAAACATAATTTTGATACAAAATTTAAATCATGTATATATGTATATATATATATATGGCAACTACCCTTACTACCCCAACTACCGTCTGTTTTTTAGAGAGACCCCACCCCCACCCTTGAAGGTGAATCTGAATGGCAACTACCCTTACTACCCCAACTACCATCTGTTTTTTAGAAAGACCCCACCCCCACCCTTGAAGCTGAATCTGAATGGCAACTACCCTTACTACCCCAACCACTGTCTGTTTTTTAAAAGATCCCTTCCCCACTCTGTGTTTATTCTATGCGCACGGTATACAATATGGGTATCGATTCCCATTAAATCACTTGTTTTAAGCTTGTTTCTGGCATTCATAACACTCTCCGACCGTTACTATCCTCACCACCCACCTTCTGAAGGGTGCACATTTCGTAGTAAAAAAAAGGCATTTTATACATACAGGCCTGATCCCAAAGGTGCACTGATAACCCATCTTAACCAGAGCATGGAGGCAGGATTTCATGACCATACTCTTCTTGAAGTTGGCAAAGGTCTTCACATTCTCCAGAATAAAAAACTTTGTAAATATTCCTTTGTGGTAGAGAGTTTTTCAACTGCTTTAAAAAAACTTGATGGTTCTCAGGGAAAGTATATTTTGATATTTTGAATATCCTTCTCAATTCTATATAAAAATAACCATATTATTTTATAACAAAAAGATAAAGAAAAAATACATTGAAAAATAAATGTTTTTTGAAAAAAAAGGTGGAAAAAGATTTTTTGAATAAAAGTTAATATGGTAAACCTTGAGGTGTAGTTATAAGTTGGAACTGAATAAAATGTAGGGGTATAAGGGGGGGGGGGAAGGGAACAAGTTGACTGACAGTACTATAGAGGGGAGCATTTAGGATTTGGCTAGGGCAAGGGGGTGTAAACAGGTACTATGATAAATCAAAATAAAAACATCACAGGGTTATAAAAAAAACACTAAGCTAAATAAAAAAAAAGAACTTTAAAGGACTTTGGCCTGTAATATTCTGTATAGGATAAATAACTGGAGACTAAGGAGTATTTGAAAAAGGAATATTCTCCAGCATTGAACCGATTCATTCCAGAGAATCCTGGACAGGGGGGTCCACCACATAGTAATTCCACTTCTCCTGGCTGAGGATATTTCTGTTTGAATTCATTCATTTTCTTTCCTTCCATCACACAGCAGAGCCGTTTATTACAGTCATCTGTAAACACTGTGCAGTCCTTGTTTAACTTGAAGGCTTTTGCAGCAGGTTCAAACACTTTAACAGCCCAAAGGGTCTCCGCTACTCCAAAATCATGCAGGCCCTGGCTTAATCCACCACATCCAGCAAATATATCCAGGCTTCTTAGCTTCTTTTTAACTTGAGGATAGCTGGGAATCAGGTGATATGTGGTGTCTGTACAAAATTCTTTAGCTGCAGCAGGTAGAGAGTCAAGAGTTTTCGATCCAGAATTAAACATGTTCCTGAAAGATTGGTTGAAGATATCTTTGTTTCTTTAGCCAGTTTAACTTCACTACCTTCCCAGGTTCTTTTCCTCAGCCATCTGTTCTTTAAAAAAAAACCTCAAATACAAGCTGAAAAAGTGTAGTAACCATGGCGGATTCAAACTTAGGTTTCTGGGACTTCTTTCTCTCTACTACAAGCTTAGAGGACTTCTTTCCACCGGCTTTCTGAACACCACGGCAAATTGACAAATTCTCTTAATGAGAGGAGAGTCCATGTATTTCATTTCGTCAGCATCACTGGCCATTTGGTAACTAAGGATCTAGCTGGCGAGGAGCTCTGCGTTTTTAATCTTTCATGAATTCTGGCATTCCTAGCATCTCGACACAAATTGTTAATTTCCTTGCGTGGGTCTGGTGTTCTTGGAGCACTGGACCCATTCATTTTTTCCATGAATTTTTTATGCATTTGTTATGCAGGTTTATGCATTTACTATTAATTTATAAAATTCTTGTAGATTTTTATGAAATTTTTTAAGACTAAAATAAAAAAGAGAAAAAAGGTCAAAAAATTAGAATGTTCTGGTTCTGGTGCTCCCTTAAAAAGGCAACTAACATTCTCCTTTTCGTCTTAACTTAAAATTTACTAAAAAAAATTGCATAAAGAAACTCATTTAGGAAAAGTTTTTGGATAAAATAATTTAGTTTTTTCTTAAGTTGTTTATAAATAATTGAACTTAAACGTAATTTGAATTAATTTTTAATTCAAGTTCCGACTATCTACTTTTATTTTTTGGATATTCCGATTCTAAAATATAACTTTTATTTTCATTTTTAAATTTCATGAATATGCAACATTTACATCAGGAAACCCCATATTTAAAAACAGGCTTAATATGTTAATTTTAATAAAATTTAGAAAATCGAGAATCCATAGGATGGCCATTAGTAATTAAACCTGAGAAGACAGAAATTTTGGAAATAACGCCTGTTAAAGGAAAATATAAAATTCCTGATAAAAAGCAAATGGTTATATTGGGGTCAGAAGATGTGTCATTCAGCTAACCAATCCAGAGATTACTTCAAGGATGTACACGGATTGGAAGATTTAAGTTAACCTCAAAAACTTTCCAGAAGAGTCAAAAAAAAAGTGTGATTTGCGGCGCCTGGTGCAAAATTGTACTTTTTTGTGCAACTCTCCTGCGTGGTGTTTTTTCAATATTTTTTGAAAATGTGTATTTTTTTTTGGTACTCCAATGGCCCAAAAGAAAATCCGCGAACCTTTTTTCTCTCAAAATTAAAAGTTCAGAAAAGCAAAAATGTGCATATAAATTAAATCTATCGAAATCTAAAAAAGTTTCAAGATTGAATCAAAGAATCACAGAAAATTCGCAAAATTGTAAAAAGAAAATTCCCAATTTTTAGTTCTGGTCTAAGTTTTAATGAAAAGTTATTTAAATTCTCTAGTTCCTTTCTTCTTTGTATATTCTGAAGTATTAAATATACGCTGTTCAGTCGAAACCTTAAGAACCATTGAAAAACAATTTTTCCGCAAAAATTATACCAGAACTGAAAATTGCGAATTTGCTAATTACAATTTTGCAAATTTTCTGAGATTCTGTAATTCAATCTTTTTATTTTAGATTTCGATAGAAACAATTTATTTATACATTTTTGTTTTTCTGAACTTTTCAGTTTGAAAGAAAAAAGTTTCGCGGATTTTTTTGGGGGCCATCGAAGTAACAAAAAAAATTACAAATTTTTAAAAAATATTGAAAAAACACCATGCAGGAGAGTTGCACAAAAAAAGGTACAATATTTCACCAGGCGCCGCAAATCACACCTTTTTTTGACTCACTCTGTATATGATTATATATACCTAGATGTACATGGTTTACGTGAAAAATTGCAAATTTACCTCCCCCTCCACCCTTCCACAGATTAACTTCATGAGGAGGTCTCTCGTAGAAGTTTTAGGTAATCAAATATAATTCTTCAAATTGGGAAATTTTCCCCCTCTTTTTTTAAACTTCCTAACTTAGCTATAAAAGCTTAAATTCACGCATTTTATCTATAACAACTTAATTTAACCTAAACTTAGTAAATAAACTTATCTACCCTAGCGAAGGAGGGAAGGCAACGTCCCCCGCACCGCTTCCAAACCTTATTTTCCCTATTTGCTGCAGTGCCTGTCCCCATAGGGCTTCCGAACCTTCCCCAAACAGTCGGGACTAATTCGATAATTTAAGCTCACTAATCAATCTATGGTATCCTTAACATTTTCATAAATTTTGTATTTCTTTTTTAAATCAAAGTTTGGACTGGAAAAACTAAAACTAAAAAAACAATAAGATTTTGGTTCAAATCGCCCCCCCCCCCCCCNGAGTTTGTTAAAAAAAAAGGGGGCAATAGTTTTAAAATCATTAGTTTATATCAGAGTTTTGTTTTCTTTAAATATCTCAATAACTAAAAAGAAAATTTACAAAGGGCAATGTTATTAGAATCAACATTTTATAAAGAATATTTTTTATTTGTCTACTTACTAGTTGGAACTACTTCTAAGGCGGCAGCCATTCCAAGATTTGTTGAGAAAAAAAATATAAATTTTTTTGTTTTTTTTTCCAGTCCGATCTTTGATCGGAAAAAAACGCAAATTTTTAGGATACTAGAGATTGACAAGCGTTCTTAAATTATCGAATTAATCCCGTTTTAAAGCAGAAATTGACGATTACAAATGGGAGATCATTCCCGGAAAACTGTTTGGGGGAGGTTCGGAAGTCTTATGGGGACGCGCAATGCTGCACGTAGGTAAAATGAGGTTCGGAAGCTGTGCGGGGGAGGTTGCCCTACCTCCCCTAGCGTAGCTATAACAAATTAATTACACCCTAACTTAAAACTCAAAAATTTAATAACATGAAAATAAAGACCTATTATTTTGTTATCAGGACTTGATCACAATCTTGCATACTACCAGGCTTTTGTTCATATCAGGCAGTTGGCAATTCATCTTAGGTTAGTTTTTTTTATGAGAGTGGGCCTGGGATTTCGTTACAATCAACGTATAAGGATAGCTTAGGAACTGTATTTGTTGTAAATATCTTAAACTGCTTTTAGGGCGCATTTTCTCTGAAACTTTAGGTTTGAATTCTGAAAATATTTAAGGTTCTTAAAACACACATTATTTTTTTAAAACTTTCTATAGTTTTTATATGTAAAGTGAATTTATAGGACTAATATAAAAATATTTAAACTATCTTATCTTATAGAAAAGTCTACTTTTATGAATACAAATCTGACGACCGTTCTATTTTTGTTTATTTAGAAATGCTATTGTTAACAACAAGAAAGAATCAATACAGGCTGTTTATAACTGGCAGTTCATTCATTCACTTGGTAAGTACACCGGATGTCGGACACGGTACTATGTACACGGTACACGGTACAGAGCTAAAAATTATTTCTTTGATGGGAAATTTTGAAAATTCATTTAACATTCAAAATCTTAAACACTGATTTTAATATTAAACTTTTTATTTACTCATAAAAATGTAATTGATTTTTAAACGCAAACAAACAAGATTAAATGCCTAAATCTATTTAATTTTTATTTATTTTAGAATTATGGGGTTCCCTACTCTGCCATACTGCGGGTTCCGAGATTCTTCAACCTTTGATTTATCCAGTTGTTCAGGTATTTAAAATATCTTTTAAAGGGACTGTAAGCGTAATTTCAAGGGGACCATGCAAAGATGGCAATGCTCGATTCAAAACAGCACCCTTGACATTTTAAAAAAAATAAATTGAAAGATATTGTCGTTTTTACAGGGTTAAAAGTGCTGATGATTCTCATGATTTCTTCATGGTTTCCTTCAGTAGAAATGTACAAGTCAAGTTTTCAAATGCAGAGAAACCCCCATTAAAAAAATAATCCGTTTCCAAAATTATAAACAATTTATAATTAATTCACACTTCAGCAGACAATTTTTTTAAGGGTAATGCTGTGAACCGGTCATAGCAAGGTTTCCACTTTTGCAAGAAGGAAACCTTGAAATAACGCTTACAGTCTCTTTAGTCTCTCTTAAAATTGATTCAAAATCTGCAAAATTTTGCAGATATTATTCTTTCTTATAATTACTCCACAGTCAAAAAATATTTTTGAAAAATTTTCATTAAAATAATTTTAGGTGACCCTTGGAGTTGTAAGACTGGTTTCAACTGGTAAATATTTCCCTCTGCGGTTCCACTGTGCTACTATTCTAGGGAATATATCCTCCTCTACCGGAACCTTTATCCCTGTTCTCCCCCTTTACCTGGATATCCTCAACACACACAACTTCGAGAAGAAGTCCAAGAAGGTTTCCATGAAACCGATGGATTTCTCGGTTATTCTTAAACTTTCAAAATCTCAGCTCTCTGAGAACGGGTTCAAGGACGCGACCATTGAGGAGATTTACTCCGGGTTGTTAGGTTACTTGGCGGTGAACAGCTGTAGGATAGGGTTCCCGGAGCTGGTTACTCCGCTCATCTTTCAGCTCAAGGATTTCCTGAAGAAGAGCAAAGTTGGAAACTATTGTAAGAAGATGAAACAGATTCTAGACAAGGTGATCGCTAATCAAAAATTTATTGAAACCAGACGAAAAACCGTCAATTTTGGTGTTGGAGACAAGCAAGCGATCAAGATCTGGGAGGCTCAGGTAGAACGGGACGGAACTCCGCTCCTTGCCTTCTACAAGTCCTGGAAGAAGGTTGCGGACGCTCAGAAGATGAAACAGATCACAGATCAGAAGAATCTTGACGACTACTCTCATATCCCTGTTCTGAAGAAGAACCACAAGAAGATCAGGATGAAGATGGAGTCTGCAAGTGAAGCAGACGGATTCCTCTCTGGCAGTGATGATGATATTGATGATGAAGAGAGATTTGAACTCAAGGAAGATAGAGGAAAGAAGGATGTAGAGGCTGGGAAGAGAAAGCGTGATATGGAAGAATCCGATGGCAGTGATGAAGATGAGGAAGGGGAGGAGGCTGAAGATGAAGCGGAGGCTGGAGATGATGTGGAGGAGAGCGAGGATGAAGGGGATAGCGGTGAAGACGAGGTTGAAGATCTAAGATTAGAAGATATGGATTCTGATTCAGAACTTGAACTCAAGGATGACTTTGAGGATGAGGGTGGGTCTAGTGAGAGTGATGATGATGATGAAGATGATGATTCAGAATAAATTTTTTTCAGATAAGAATGTTGTGATGTTGTCTAGTTTGGTAAAGGAGCATCAGGTGAGACAAGGAGCCAAGAAGGAGGTACAAGAGGCAAGGAAACAGGAGGCATTAACTGCTGCTAATAAACTTACTGAGGTAACATTTACAAGCAAAGATTAGCGTAACCTAGCATTCGATTAAGTATGCATAGCAAGTGTGTATATTGTCTTGAAACATTATTTCCACCTCCCCCCAAGAATTGAACTTGAAAGCAAAGAAAGATTTTGAAAAAATCGTAAGATTAAAAAAATTAAGTCCAAACTAGATACATTTCAAAATTTCTAGACTGTGACCATCTACCATTAAAAATAACAAAGCTAATATTAAACTTGACAATTTGTCCAAATTTTTAGTTTTTCCCATCTCAACCATTTGCAAAATATTAAACCCTTAAAAGGTGAAGGTATATCCAAATATATAAACTCCTGAACTATTCTAGGCTTTGGTGGACCATCTAAACGTAGGAGTAGCACAAGCTTATCTAAATCAAAAACGATTAGACTCTGAAGCTAAACTTCTACATCAGAGTGCTACAAACTTTGCTAAACAGACACAGGTTAAAAACATAAAAAACTGATGATTTTAAAGTTTTTCGAGAATAAGTAAAAAAAAAAAACTTGACAATGGTTTAATGCTTTTGATTTTTTCTCGTTTTTTTTTCTCTCTGAGCGCTCCGTACCTGTTTGAAAGATTTCTAATATGAATTAATCTTTCATTTCATTGTACCTAGTTGTAATTTAGTTAATCGCTAATCAGGAACATTCAAACATATGGTTAAAGCAAATCTTTCTCCTTCAGTTATCATGGAATTTTTTTATAATTATGCTTCAATTTTTATTTTAGAGCTGGTTAACCGTTGTAGAAAGTTTCAATACAAGTTTGAAGGAGTTAGGAGATATATCAGGGTGGGCTGGTGCTATACATCAAGATCTCAGGACTGTAGCTTCAACACTAGAATACAGTGCTAAGGTTAGCTAGGAGATATATCGGGGTGGGTTTTTTCTATACATCAAGATCTCAGGAACGTAGCTTTAACACTAGAAGGTAGTGGCTAAGGTTAGCTAGGAGATATATCGGGGTGGATTGCATCTATTTATTAAATTCTCAGAAAGACTTTGTTTTAATGGCATTGTTTGGCATAAGAATAGTCCGTTTTTATCATATTTTAAAAACAGTTGATTTAGGTTGATCAGGAGCACCCGGAGTAACCAGGCCATGCTCCTCCTGTTCCTAACTTATGCTCTCATCTCTCTCTCAACTGGGACAGATTCTCCGGGTCCTACCTCCGACCTCGGAGCTCCTGTATCCGGCATCGGAGCCCCTGTATCTGATCTCGGAGCCCTTAACAAAAATAGTGGAGATTCTGGGAACGATCTTGATGTTGGTGAGTTTACAGAATCCTCTGATGCATTAGCTGCTACGGAAGCTCCTGAAGAGTCTCTAGGATCTCCAAAAGTAGTTCCAGCTGCTGCTACAGCTGCAGTGGGTGGAGACTCCTGTAAGTTTGATCCAAGAGACGTTGTATCAGAGGAATATTCTCCAGCTAGGTAACTATTCAATATCGGAAGCTTAATCATTTGTTAATAAATTGCTACCAGGGGGCTTTGATTGAATTGAATATTTAAAAAGTTTAGGTGAATATAAAACATTTTACAATGTGACAAGTTTTCCTCAATTTTGATACTTTGGATACCCGACAATTGATTGAAATTTCCTTTACTTTCCCACATTCCTTATACACTGTATTAAATTAATGTTATACTAGGACATAACCTGGTTTGTTTTGGATGTTCTTGAACTTAGCTACCGCACAAATTCGTTTAACTGCCAACATTTCAAAACTGTTTTTTGTAAAAGTTTGCTATTATTAAACTTGTTTAGCCTAAAAAATACAAGAGAACACCCATTTTTTGCATTAAGGTTATCTCAGTGTCAAAATTTGGCGCAGTCAAAGAAACGCAACTTTTTAAAATAAACAATTTTTATGGAACCTCTTAAAAGTCCAAAAAGTTTTTGAAAAGCTTACCAAGCTTTGTCCCATCACTAGCTATATCTCTAGGGAGGAGTGTCCCTGCTATCACCAGGAGTCTAGTCCCACCTACAACTGCCCCGCCCACCCTCTCTCCGCCCTCCCACCCTGCAGGTTCCTGCCACTAGAGTTCCTTCAGTGTAATCAGCCGGTGGATCACGAGGGGAATACTACAGCAAAGGTTTGTTTAAGACGAAGCTTTAGATCAGTTCTATTTTGATCCAGATACAGTGTTGCCAACAAAAGATAATACTGTAAAGACGATATGAACAACTTTTAATCTGACAACTACTAAGTCTAAATTAAGTATTCTGCCTGATATTCTAAGGCACAGAAAGTAACAATTGTTGACAGTTGCAGGTAATCAGAAGTGAGGAAGCATACAGAATAAATTCTATACAGTCTTCTCTAAAGTCTCATCCTTTGTGGATAATCCTGGCTCGGATCCTGGACCCGTTCTGTATTTATTATGGAACTAAACATGGAATCCGTTCAGTTTATAAGTAATCCGCATCCTGGATCCTTCCTGTGTTTAAAGGTTCCGCATTTTTGATCCGTTATTTGTTTCTGAATTGTTTTGTGATCCTGGATCCGTCATGTGTTCAATATATCCGGATCCTGGATCCGTCCTGCGTAAAATGGATCCGAATCTTGTCCTTTATTTGTTTAAAGTGTCTGTCCCCTGTTAAATGGATCCAGATCCTGGATCTGTCCTTAATCCGGATCCGACCTATGAATATTATCATATTTATCTAGATTATTATTAATTTTAAAAAAAATCTTATTTTTATCCTGAACCAGATTTAATGAAAAGTGAGACTTACTTGAACCATAGTTGTGCGCCAGGTCAAACTTAAGAGAAGTGGTTCACCCTAGTCTTCATTGTTTTTCATTAAATCCGGTTCTAGAATTTATTAACAAAATGTTAACAAATTTGTGTTCATTTATACTCTTAATCATTTTTCTGAAAATATGCATGTTTTGTCAGTTAATCCTAAAAAATTCACGATTTTTAAAGATATTATACATCAGGAGGAATTGGGTTACGGTTGTCTCAGCTTTGGAGGACAACGGTGGGAGGAGGTTGAGAAAACTCCAGTGTGTTGCAGGTACCAGAAGAAATTCTGCGCCAAGTTGTTTCATCATTATGATATTTTTAACCAAAAAATTCATTTATTTTCAGTTAATAAAACCATATAAAAGTAAAAAATTGTGTTAAATGGATAATGTGTCAAACAAATAATTTTTAGGGGAAAATAAACACCAAATACCAAAAGTATCAAGTAAAGATGAAAAACTTGCTTTTAATGTACATTTTTTCATCCCCCCCCCATTCATCAAAAAACATTTCCTTCTGAATTTAACAGAAATTATCAAAATTTATCAAACTTAAAGGGTTGGATAGATTCTGCCTGGGTCAGACTGGAACTGGAGTTGGTAAACTGTTAACTCTGGGTGGACTCGGGATTTGGTGGATCATCGATATCTTCTTACTCGTCACAGGTAAGGTTTAGAGTTTTTACTGATTTTGATGATACTAATCATACTAATCAAAAAAAAAATGTTTGCTGCTCCGCGAACAAAAATAGATTTTAATAGGGGGGTGAGGGAGCCTAGCTGGGAAATGATTTTACATAAAAATATACACCCTGTTTATGGGTTAACGTGACGGTCAAAATAATTTCAATTGAATACCAATCAAAGATGCCGTGTTTTCCGTTTCAAAACTTGACACCCTTTCACCCTTTTTGACACCCTTTCACCCTTTAAACCCTTTTTTGAGCCACAAATAAGAAGATATGGTCATTTTTTAGCATTAAGAGTGTTTAAACGAAGGTTTATAATCCTGCAAATGCAGGGTTACTTAAACTTACGAACCCTATTGCATACTTAGATAATAATGTGATCTTTCAGATACTATTTTTTATGCCGGAATATGTCTCTGATCTCTGACTTCCAACGTGAACTATTGAACTCTATTATGGGTGTTGAGTGTAAACGGTTAAATCTAGTGAGAAAGCATGATAAAAATCTCTCCACTCTTGGAGAATTCAGTTTTCCTTGTTTATCCAACACCAAGGTTTGGGGGGAGGAGAAGGATATAAACAAGGTTCGAAATACAGCGTTGAGATCTCTAAGCTTGGATCGGATAGAAGCCCAGAAGGAGATCTGTGTCGTTTTCCTGAACAGGGAATACGCACTTGGTAAACTGTTCAGAGCTGCTAAAGATCCGGATGTTGAATGCTGCGATGCTACAACAAACGAAATTGTTGAGAGCAAGGATGCATCAACGAATACAGACTTGATCAATCCTGATGATTTAGACTTAACTTCTGCCAGATTTGTTTTTATGTCCGATATCATAGGTAGGTTTTTAGGGACTCAAAGCGTAATCTTAAGTGACTTTTTATTGATAAATGGGTATCTCTGCTTCACAACGGTACCCTTTTAAACCTTTGTCTGATCTAGGATGACCGCCTTTTCATTGTTTATCGACAAGAAATTGTTAAAATACTTTGTTTTCAAACTGTTTTATATTAATATTTGCTTTCATGGACAATGGACATTCTAGATTTTATTCGCCTTGATTTTACGGATTTTTACTCAGCATTTAAGAGATTTACACTCTTAGTTCTCTGTCCTCGATGCTCAAGTCAGTGGTTAAAAGGGTACTGTTGTGAATCTCGGATGTTCTGCCTCTCATGAAATGAAAGTTCACATGAAATAAACGCTTAGTGTCCCTTTAAGAAAGTCATATTTTAAACGTATTGTTTTAACTTAATATCTGTACTTTCTAGGTAGATGTATGAAGAGAGTGGGTGGAAAGTATCCAGTTTCAAACGAACACTTTACAAAGGTAAAAGCAACCGAACATTTCAAAACTTTTAGTGTTTAACTGTTACCAACGATAATTGCTAATATTCATCTAAAATTTTATTCGTTATTTCAAATATTTTTTATACTTTAAAATGTCCACCCTGTAAAGTGTTCACTGTTCAGTGTTCAGTATATATTGTGCGTATAACGACTGTGTAGTGTGTACCTATGTACATTGTTCAAACTAGACATAGTTTTGAATGACCCCTTTTAAAAAGACTTTCTGTAAAAAAGCTTACACCATGTAAACATGGGTGAATACAACTTTAATTTACTTATCCCCTTTTTCATATCCTTTTATTTCCCCTTTCATACACTTTTATTACCCCTTTCATACCCTTTTATTACCTCTTTCATACCCTTTTATTACCCCTTTCATACCCTTTTTATTTTTCAAGATTTAAGCCGGCGCTCAATTGAAACCGGTTTTTGGAGGATTTGAGACGCAGCTTAATTGCATTAAATTCGGACACAGGATGTACATTGTACATGATTCCATCCCCAAGAGATAAAGAGCATTAATTCAGAGCAGGGTCGACCAAACCCGATAATTTTTAATCACGAACGTGTTCTTAACTTCCTAGAGACATTGTGATATTAACTTCATTTATTTCCTAGTGAATGTTATATTGAAGTGAATCCTTATTCGATCTTGCAAAAAAGGACACATCAAAATAAATGAATTTAAGGTTAAATATTGTAAATCTTCCCTTTAAGCTTTACTATTTACGTTAGGTTGGTCCTGTTTTGGAAGCTGGGAGTAGGAAGAAAACTAAGTTGTCACTAGCTAAGTTTCAAAATGAGGTATTCATATTTCCCTAAAAACCCCTTTTCGAAAAAATAGAGAACAGCTAAATGGATTTAAAATTTATCTCAGTCTGGGTTGACCCTTTTCATTTCCTGAGGTTTTTGTTTGTTTTGGAAGAACATTCATCACCGTTTTCCGAAAATGGTTGGTTGATTGATTGATTGATTGATTGATTGATTAATTGATTGGATTGTTCTTAGGTACAGGAAACAATTGAGAGTTTGGACCAATATATCCACCCCTACCATCAGTATTCAACTATACTCTGCTTAAAGAGGTATTTATGTCTAGTGTAGAGCAAGGGATATATCCACCCCTACTACCAGTATTTAACTATACTCTGCTTAAAGAGGTATTTATGTCTAGTGTAGAGCAGGGGGTAAACCCACCCCTACTACCAGTATTTAACTATACTCTGCTAAAGAGGTATTTATGTCTAGAGTAGAGCAAGGGATATATCCACCCCTATTCAACTATACTCTGCTTAAAGAGGTATTTGTTTCTAGAGTAGAGCAGGGGGTATATCCACCCCTATCATCAGTATTCAACTATACTCTGCTTAAAGAGGTATTTATGTCTAGTGTAGAGCAAGGGATATATCCACCCCTACTACCAGTATTTAACTATACTCTGCTTAAAGAGGTATTTATGTCTAGTGTAGAGCAGGGGGTAAACCCACCCCTACTACCAGTATTTAACTATACTCTGCTAAAGAGGTATTTATGTCTAGAGTAGAGCAAGGGATATATCCACCCCTATCATCAGTATTTAACTATACTCTGCTTAAAGAGGTATTTATGTCTAGAGTAGAGCAAGGGATATATCCACCCCTACTACCGTATTTAACTATACTCTGCTTAAAGAGGTATTTATGTCTAGAGTAGAGCAAGGGATATATCCACCCCTACTACCAGTATTTAACTATACTCTGCTTAAAGAGGTATTTATGAGAAAAGACTTATTCGTTATCTTAAAGATTTATATATTTGGGATGTGGTCAAAGAGTCTTTAAAGTCTGATTGATTGATTGAATGATTGATTTTCAGGAGGAAGAATGGGAAATATGTTTTGTTTACCTTCTCCCCTATCCTGATCTACTCGAGGAGGTGGTACAGCAGCATACTGTGCATAGGATACCTCTTCATCTAATAGGTTATTTTTTTTAATAACTAGGTCTTCAAGGGTGCTCTGCATCTCTCTTGTAATCATTCTAACTTTTAAATTTAGTTTTTTTGTCGTAGTATTACGAGACAAAAACACCAAATAATTTCACAAGTTTTTATAAGATAATTTAGAATACCGTTTTTTTACATTTTTCAACTGTCAACATTTTAAATGAAATAGGTAAATTTTTATCAAAACTTTTAAGGGGATTCGTCTTTGACACTCAGAAAATGTTCATTTATGTTTACGTGAATACTCTACTACTAAGCTTTAATTTCTTTTTATGCTATATTTTTATTTAGGTTTAAGCAAGTGTTTATCCCGCTACTATAGCAGAGTCAAGGTTCTAAAAGATCCTCTTCCACAGTTGATCCCTATCATACATTCTAGAATACAATTCTTACAGGTTATATGTTTTCCTACACCTCAATTTTACCCAAATTTACTTTTTAAAGCAAATCCACAAATTAATATTTTATTCATTTTAAGTTATTGTGTTCAATACAAAAGTTGTACTTTGCGTTATGTTTGTTTAAAAGTATTCTATAAATGCATGTTATACTAATTAAAGACTATAAAGTGTATGTATATGTTTTCATTTCTGAGATAAAACAAATTTAACATTAACACTTAGAAGAATGGGATTGTGATTGTGCTCTTAGATTTTTCATGTTACACTTTTCAAGGTTTGATCCGACCTATCTGACGTTAAACCTCAAAAGAAATGAGAAAGAAACCTCATTTTATAATATAGTACACAATACGGCATTTGCAAAAGAAGGATTTATTTCAGGAGATTCAGAAAGTTTTCCAGTCATCACTTTATATCCTTGGACTGCAACATCTAGATAAAATGTAGTGTTGACACCCTAAACTGGCTCATTTGGCATGCACCGTTATACGGCTCATTTCGCACCGTAAAATGGCTCATGAGGCTCTGCAGGCGGGTCATAAAGCTATTCACTTAATTGCTCTATAAGCTTCTTAAACTAAATTTATGTATGATTGCAGGAATGAAAGAATGAAAGAATGAAAGAATGAAAGAATGAAAGAATGAATTAATTAATTAATTAATTAATTAATTATTGAATAATTTAAAATCTAAGAATATTCTTAGTCCAAGCTTCACTTTGTGATAAAATCTTGTAATGTATTTTCTAGGTTTTCAATCGAATTATTTTAGTAAAATACACTATTTACAACTGAGCTCTGAATTTTTGATTTCGAGATTGTAATGTACTTAGGTTCAGTTGAAGTTTCCTTAATAATCAGTTTTGTTTATTAAACTTATAATCTTTTTTTTTAAGTTGTTTCTTTAATTTTTCTAATTTCCTGGAATAAATTTGTTAAAACATATTTCAGAAAAGATGGCTCATGTGCCCGGCGTGTTTACTCCGACCCTACAGCAGAGTATTAGTGAGGCTCGTCTGCTGGTGGTGGGTGCTGGGGGGATAGGATGCGAGCTCCTCAAGAACATCGTTCTCACGGGTAAGTATTAGTAAAAATAAGCCTATTAAAGAAAATACCGTTGGTATGAAACTTGCAATGTTCTGTTTTGAGGCCTTCATTAGTTTTTATTTAAGAATTATGAATGAGTAAAAAGATAACATTAAAGTAATCATACGGTTCAAATGTTTTTTTTATCTTTAAGTATTGATAAATAAAAATCCTTTGTCCAAATTCCAGACACCCCGGTGTAAAAACGATACTTGTGTGGCTTATATATTACACAGCATTTTATAAACTCAAACTTCCCATGCAAATCATGTGAAGAGTAGCAATTCATGATTTTAGCCCGCCAATAAGCAAGTCTTTGGATATCTAAAAGTTAAAATTTTCTCTATTATCACTTGACAGAGAACTGCATGAATAATATAGATTTAAAATAGATTAATAAGAAAAATAACATTTTCTCAGAACAAGGTTGACTTCATGGATTCTTTAAATGATGCTTCTCTCAAAATTACGTCATCAGTTCCTTAAATGCGTTAGCTAAACAAGATAAAAATCAAGAAAGAATAAATAGCATAATAATTTTAAATTCTCTAGGGTTCAAGGATATCGAGGTGATTGACCTGGACACAATCGACGTGTCCAACCTGAACAGGCAGTTTCTCTTCCAGAAGCAGCACGTGGGTAAATCCAAGTCCAATGTTGCGCGGGAGAGTGCGCTTCGGTTCGCACCGGATGCTAAGATCAAGGTATATAATACAGGGTTTTGTATGCAGGGATGTATATTTTCTTTGAAAATCTTTTTCCCGTTCTCCTCTCTTTTGAAGATCACTCCCCAACCCCCAGAAGTTAGGTATAAACCCCGAAAGTTTTTTTTTGGCTAAATTGGGGAATATAAATACATTTTTGGGTAAAAAGTATGTTTTTCCTTGATCTTTAAAATCATTCCCAAATTCTTAAAAATTCACAACCATATTCTAACGATCAAAAAGGAGGAGTGGGGGGGGGGGGCTATACTTAGAAATTGGACATTAACGGACAAGTTTTTGATACTTTTTATCAAAAAATTATTTCATTTCTCCATAAAATCATTTATTTTCAATTCTAAAGAGAATAAAACCCTAGATTTTGCACTCAGAACATCCTTGTTATTAAACTTGATTGTGCTCAGAACATCCTTGTTTTTAAAATTGATTGCGCTCAGAACATCCATGTTATTAAAATTGATTGCACTCAGAACATCCTTGTTATTAAACTTGATTGCACTCAGAACATCCTTGTTTTTAAATTGATTGCACTCAGAACATCCTTGTTTTTAAACTTGATTGCACTCAGAACATCCTTGTTTTTAAAATTGATTGCACTCAGAACATCCTTGTTTTAAAAATGATTGCACGCAGAACATCCTTGTTTTTAAACTTGATTGCACTCAGAACATCCTTGTTTTTAAACTTGATTGCACTCAGAAAATCCTTGTTTTTAAACTTGATTGTGTTCCTTGTTTTTAAAATTGATTTCGCTCAGAACATCCTTGTTTTTAAAATTGATTGCGCTCAGAACATCCATGTTATTAAAATTGATTGCACTCAGAACATCCTTGTTATTAGACTTGATTGCACTCAGAACATCCTTGTTTTTAAAATTGATTGCACTCAGAACATCCTTGTTTTTCAAATTGGTTGCACTCAGAACATCCTTGTTATTAAACTTGATTGCACTCAGAACTTCCTTGTTTTTAAAATTGACTGCACTCAGAACATCCTTGTTATTTAAATTGATAGCACTCGGAACATCCTTGTTTTAAAAAATGATTGCACTCAGAACATCCTTGTTTTTAAACTTGATTGCACTCAGAACATCCTTGTTTTTAAAGTTGAGTGCACACAGAACATCCTTGTTTTTAAACTTGATTGTGCTCAGAACATCTTTGTTTTTTAAAATTGATTGCGCTCAGAACATCCTTGTTATTAAAATTGATTGCACACAGAACATCCTTGTTTTTTAAAATTGATTGCACTCAGAAATAATTCGCGGATTTTTACAAAAAAAAATTCGTGGATTTTCAAAATTTTCAAAAGTTTAATGAAGATCGAACTTTGATGGAGACAAATATTTGAAATTTTGATCCTTCATAAACCTTCCCTGTGGTCACGTGATGTCCCACAAAAAAATTGGGCCCGATCGGTTCAGCCGTTTTGACGTTTATTGGATACAAACAAACAGACAGACAAACAAGCCAAATTTATGTATAGATTGCACTCAGAACATCCTTGTTTTTAAACTTGAGTGCACTCAGAACATCCTTGTTTTTAAACTTGATTGCACTCAGAACATCCTTGTTTTTTAAATTGATTAAACTCAGAACATCCTTGTTTTTAAAATTGATTGCACTCAGAACATCCTTGTTTTTAAACTTGAGTGCACTCAGAACATCCTTGTTTTTAAAACTGATTGCGCTCAGAACATCCTTGTTTTTAGTTAACACTTTTGAGTTCAAACAACTTAACAAGTATTTTTAACGATTTTGAAAGTAATTTTTATAAGAGGTTTGATCTTATTTTGAAAATTTTTGATTTTATTCAGGCGTATCATGATTCTATCATGAAAGAGGAGTATGGAGTTAACTTCTATAAGAACTTCTCTCTCTGCCTCAACGCCCTGGACAACAGGGCCGCCAGGAACCATGTCAACAGGTGCATTATAAATTTTACCGCCTTTCGGCCAACATTTCTTAACGTCTCTTGGGACAGTTAATTAAAATTACTACCTGCTCTATGAAGTTATCATGAAAAAAATCGCATTTTCATCTCAACAGACGATAACATTATTTACAACTACCTTTTCGGGAAATTATAAAAAAAGTACTGAACCACGGGTTCCTTCGACCATTTTTGTCTGTTTGGATGTTTTGTTGGAAAAATTGGCCTTGGGAACCATTGTAAAGAAAAATTTCCCTGAATCTTTGTAAATAATTATATTTCATCTATATCTCTTCACTCGTACACACAGGTTAGCTATAGCTGGCCAAACGGCTAAACCAAATTGGCCGAATTTTTTTGAGAACCCATAGGCGGGTAGTGGGTACCCTTGGGGTAACATTTTTTTTTTCAAAACTCGAAATTTGTTTTCATAGTGTACTTTCTTTTAAGTCCATGGACAAAGCCTGGCACTTCAGCTAGTGGTGTAATATAAGCAAACTTTGTAGAGCATAATACCTGGAAATTCATGATATTTCGTAGATTTTTGTGAGTCATCTGAAACCCGAATATAAATATAAATGTTAAGAATGGACAAATTTGTCTGCCCGGGGCCAACATTAACTGATTGAGCAAACGCATTAAATGTTAACTATGTCTCGAAGAAAGAACGATTGTTTGATAATTTAAAAGGAAGACGACATTTGTGAGGAATTAACTTTTTTGGCGATTTCCCCCTTAAATAATACAGTTAATCTAAATCTAAATCTATGTAAACTAATGATTTTAAATGTTTAAATATTGCTCTTGATGTCTTAACATTTCATTGAAATGGTTAAAACACATAGAGGGAGGTGAACTGATGTCCCATATCATATTAGATCGTTTGTACCTTTAAATTACTTACTTACTGTATACTTGGTGAGTAGTTGGAGTTTAGATCTTACGATTTTCGGGACTAATCAGAAATTTGAAAAAAGAAAGAATCATTTAAAAATTGTTCAAGGCTAATATAAAAATTTGCATGTAGAAAATACTAGGGTTTTCGAGTAGTATGTGCTTTTTTGGTGTTAAAGCTTTGAGATAATCCAATATGATATGGGACGGTAACTGAGGCATGACGAGTATATCACCGGGTCTTATTGAGAAAGTGTGTGGGGGGGGGGGGTTGGACTGAAGTATTAGACTTTTCGCTGAAATATCTTTTAAACTTATGAAATTTCCAACAATGTATAAAATATAAGGATGTGCCTGGCCGCTAACCTACCCCTGGTCGAGTCCGGTACAGCGGGATATCTGGGACAAGTCACTGTTATTAGGAAGGTAAGATAAATTCTACTTTGTGCCGCCTTTTGACCAGTTTGGAAACTAATCAGTTTTCAAACTTATAAACATTAATATCTAATTCATACTTGGAGTACCGTTGGGAATCAGACATTGCCATCTTTCCTGGGAGGTTCACTTGATGTTACCTTTAAGATTAATAATTTTAAGAGTGTTTATGAAAAAAATGAGTTTTGTTGTGTTACGGTGGTAAACTGGGGAATACAGGTTCTAGATCTTTAGTGTTCAGATTTCTCAGAATTTAAAGTAATACATATCGGAGTTTAAAGGAATATATATCGGAATTTATTTCGGAATAAATATCGAAATAAACATCGAATATATATCGGAATACAAAACGGAATATATAACGGAATATATATCGGAATATAAAGGGATATATATCGGAATATAAAGGAATATATATCGGAATATAAAGGAATATATATCGGAATATAAAGGAATATATATCGGAATTTAAAGGAATATATATCGGAATTTAAAGGAATATTTATCGGAATATAAAGGAATATGTATTGGAATATAAAGGAATTTATATCGGAATTTAATGGAATATGTATCGGAATATAAAGGAATATGTATTGGAATTTAAAGGAATATATATCGGAATATTAAGGAATATATATCGGAATATAAAGGGATATATTTCGGAATATAAAGGAATATATATCGGAATATAAAGGGATTTTTTCGGAATTTAAAGGAATATATATCGGAATATAAAGGAATATGTATCGGAATGTAAAGGATATATATCGGAATTTAAAAGAATCTATATCGGAATATAAAGGAATATATATCGGAATATAAAGGGATATATTTCAGAATTTAAAGGAATATATATCGGAATATAAAGGAATATGTATCGGAATGTAAAGGATATATATCGGAATTTAAAGGAATATGTATCGGAATATTGTCTGTTTGTTTGTTTGTTTTTCCGATCATAACACTGGAACCCCTGGACCGATTTGTCTCAAATTTTGATTGGCGAACTCGGGACATCTGCGGGAATGTTCTTAGCTTGGTTTTGAGATTCTAAGTCGAGTTTTAAAGCGAAAAGAATGTTTTACGGTTAAAAATCGTCTTAGTGTGGGTTAACACTGGAGTAACTTCGAGTACCCTGTGCAACGCTAGGTTCCCAAGCTAGTAATATATATAAATATTAACTATCTAGGGTGCTACCGAGTGCTATGAGTGTCAGCCTAAACCTCACCAGAAAACCTTCCCTGGGTGTACAATTAGGAACACACCTAGTGAACCTATACATTGTATTGTGTGGGCTAAACATCTTTTCAATCAGGTATATAACATACTGTACATGCTGTATATAGAATACTGTACAGTGTACATGCTGTAAATGACATGCCGTACAGTCTGTACAATTAGGAACACACCTAGTGAACCTGTACATTGTATTGTCTGGGCTAAACATCATTCTAATTTGGTACATAACATACTATAGATACTATACTGACATACCCTACCATCTTCATTTTAAAGACTCTGTATACAATTAGCAACACACGTGACCTAGGAGACCTGTTCGTTGTATTGTTGATACTAATATAATGAACAGTCCCTTTAATAAAGTATTTGTTCAGCTGTTTGGTGAGGATGATCCTGATCAGGATGTATCTCCTGATACAGAGGATCCTGAGGCTGCTGGAGATCAGGCAGGAGCGGCTGCTACAGAGAAGGAGGGAACAGAGGTAGGNTGATTTGAATTGATTTGAATTGATTTGAATTGATTTGAATTGATTTGAATTGATTTGAATTGATTTGAATTGATTTGAATTGATTTGAATTGATTTGAATTGATTTGAATTGATTTGAATTGATTTGAATTGATTTGAATTGATTTGAATTGATTTGAATTGATTTGAATTGATTTGAATTGATTTGAATTGATTTGAATTGATTTGAATTGATTTGAATTGATTTGAATTGATTTGAATTGATTTGAATTGATTTGAATTGATTTGAATTGATTTGAATTGATTTGAATTGATTTGAATTGATTTGAATTGATCTGAATTGATCTAAATTCTGAAATAGTCTGATTTGATCTGAATTGATTAATCTAATCTGAAATGGATAAAGGTAATGTCAGGAAAAGTGGGCTGATCTAGCTAAATGTTGAATAGGAGAAAGACAAAGAGTCTCCTGCTTATTTAAATTGCATTTCAGGAGAAGGGAGATGATATAGCTTGGGACAAAGATTATCCAGCTCATCTTGGTTATATTTCAGGAGAAGGGAGATGATCTAGCTTGGGACAAAGATACTCCAGCTCATCTTGATTATATTTCAGGAGAAGGGAGATGATCTAGCTTGGGACAAAGATACTCCAGCTCATCTTGATTATATTTCAGGAGAAGGGAGATGATCTAGCTTGGGACAAAGATACTCCAGCTCATCTTGATTTCGTGACAGCTTGTGCAAACATCAGGATGTACATCTTCAACATTCAACCCAAATCCAGGTGCTTGATCAACTGAAGTTAAATGTAAAATAGTTTTTATCTGATCGAAAGTTATTCATTATTCAAGCATCTCTGAATATTTTTGAAACTTTTTTAACTACTTTCTTAAATAGTTCTTAATTAATTTGTCTTTTTGATAGGATTTTTTTTTCAATTGCCGGAACTTTGAATCAGTTTCATGTTCTTGTGTTTATCGTTCATCTATCAATTAATTTTAACATTTGATTTAGCCTTTAGTAAAGTTTACTGATATACTTAACGATAGCTTCAAATGATATTAAAGTGGAGCTGTGAGTGTAATTTCAAGTGAACCTCCGTGGAAAAATGAAATAAAAAAAAATAAAAAATTTTAGTCAATAATATCAATCCCAGAAAACTTGTTTAAATAAATTAAAACTAAATGATTTTTGACTATTTTGTCCATGTCAGGGTGGGAATGTGGCAAGAAAGTCAACTAAACAATGGGCCCAGGATTGTGATTACTCGACACAGAAATTGTTCCAAAAACTTTTCAACGACGACATTAAATATCTTCTCTCTATGGACAAACTCTGGGCTAAGAGAAGGCCACCAACCCCACTTGACTGGTAAGTTAGAGGTTTTATCCAACATTCAGATTTATCAGACTTGGGTTACTTACCCACTTTATATCCATGATGGTATCCATATTATATTGTTATTTACTGGGTTGCCAGATTTGATCCATATTATATTATTATCTAGGGATTGTCTACCTGACACTACAGAGAAGAATGGATCGGCTGAGAACTCCTCTAACCTGGTGGATCAGAAGGTAAATCAAATTTGGTCGTAAGACTGATGATAGGCTTAAACTGTGAAAGGATGAAAAGCCTTGAATTTGAAAGGATAGTGATGGCGTATTGGTGAGGTCAACTTGATGTTGAACAATTCTTGGCCAATTGAATTGAATGACAACGGATCCGTATCAGAGTCAGGATCCGGATCCATCATCACGGATGCGGATCCGGATCCGCATCAAAATGATACGGATCCGAAACACTGAGGGTTACTCTAAAATACGCTTGCTTTCCTTTAATTTGTTGTTCTTGTTCAGGTTCGAAGTAAAATCTATGGCTGGAAATATTATTCCCGCCATAGCTACTACCAACGCTGTTATTGCCGGCTGTATTGTTATGGAGGCCATCAAAATTCTTAATAATCAGGTTTTTATTAAAACATTCTTTTATACAATATATTCATCTTATTTCAAGAGGGAGGCTAAACCAATCTACGATTTTATTAGTTTTCCAGTCGGGGTTGCTTTAGTGTATTTCTTTAAAGGTTGCATTGGTAAAGGGGGGATGTGAACTTGGACCGTAAAGACAAAGGTTTAAATGTGAGTCGAACATGCCGCTCTAGAATGGGAAGGTTCCTTGAAATTTCGCCTACAGAGGCCAAATTTTAAGAATGAGCCGCGACTTAAATATGGTTTGTTCTGCTTAAAATTGTATTCAATGTTTCAAGATTTAAGCCGGCGCTCCATTAAAACCGGTTTTTGGCGGATTTAAGACGAGGCTCAAATTCACTAATTTTGGATTCAGTCCCCATTTTTACATACTTAAATTAATATTATTTCCCGAAAATATGAAAGGTTAAGATCTGTATGAATTTACTTATTATTGAGGTGGATAAGTGTAAGACCGTTTAACTGAGTTAAAATATTTTATGAATTTACTTATTATTAAGCTGGATAAGTGTAATACCGTGCAACTGAGTTAAGATCTTGTTTGAATTTACTGATTATTAAGGTGGATAAGTGTAATACTGTGTAACTAAGTTAAGATCTTGTATGAATTTACTTATTATTAAGGTTGATAAGTGTAATTCCGTGTAACTGAGCTAAGATCTTGTATGAATTTACTTATTATAGAGAGGGATAAGAGTAAAACAGTTTAACTGAGTTCAACTCTTGTATGAATTTACTTATAAGGTGGATAAGTGTAAGACTGTGTACCTGAGACGCCAGCCAAACCCAAGAAAGAAGATTCTTGTTACTGAGAGCCTGGAACCACCAAACCCTAAGGTATAGACACAGAACAGAGATAAGGACACAGGACAGATAGCATAGATTGGGGCACATGACAGAGCTAAGGACACATGGATTAAGGCATAGGACAAAGGACACAAATAAAAACACAGGACAGAGATGGAATGAAATTATTATTTATTGTAGTTTCACCTTACTGGTCAAGTGTCGTAACCAATTGGTACATTAATAGTTGTTATGGCTATTTTTGACGAAGTCTCAGCCCTTACTTCTACGGAATGATGGTTGATCGCTTGTTTGTTTGATATATTCAAGAAAGTAAGATTATGTATCCTAGCATCTATCTGATAACAATGTTGTTCAGTGCTACGTGTGCTCTGATAAGCCTGAGGTGAATGTCCTGCTCAACCTTGAGACAACCACCATCAAGGTCCTAGAGGAGAAGATACTCAAGGGGTCCCTCAACATGGTCGCCCCCGACGTAGAGATCGAAGGGAAGGGGGTGATCATGATTTCGAGTGAGGAGGGAGACACAGATTGCAACAATGACAAGTTCTTGAAAGATTTTGGTTTAAAGGATGGAAGTATTCTTACTTGTGATGATTTCCTGCAAAACTATCAACTCAAGGTTAGTTTTAACTAGGGCTAAATTCTTGAACAGGGAGGGAAACAGATTTTGAGAGAATAAAAGTTAAATGGGTCTCAAATTGTTACAATTGTTATCAGATAAGTTTCCGTTTTCGTTCTGTCTTGTTTTAATTTGTCATCTTTCCGAAAATATAAAAAAAGGGGTTTTTAGAACAAAATATAAATGGCTGTGCCCAGTCCTATTTTCTAGTGCAGAGCAGTCTATTTGATCCGTTTTTTACCTAGTTTTTTTTTTTTTTGCTTTTTGCTGGCTCATAAATTATAAAATGCAAACTGTAGAGAACAACATTTTAAACTATGTGAAGTCTTCACAGTGTTTCTTTGGAGCAATTAAAAAATCTTAAAAACAATGTCCAATTTTATTAGCAAGCGATGAATCCACTGGTTTAAAATAATCGTTACTTTATCATGTTATGCATACTGTATAGGAAGGTATTTATAATTAAATTTTGTTTATAATTAAGATGATCCTGTATCACGCTGACAAGCTTGATGACGGACAGGAGTTTATTCTTACCGGAGACAAATCACAACTTCAACCCAAGGTAAACATTCAGGGCTTAGGGAATTCGGATCCGCAACATTTATAGCTCCATCGATCCCGGGTCCAAAACAGTTTAGCTCCATCGATCCCGGGTCCACAAAGTTTAGCTCCATTGATCCCGGCTCCACAACAGTTTACCTCCATTGATCCCGGGTCTACAACAGTTTACCTCCATTGATCCCGGATCCACAACAGTTTACCTCCATTGATCCCGTATCCACAACAGTTTAGCTCCATCGATCCCGGGTCCACAACAGTTTACCTCCATTAATCCCGGGTCCACAACAGTTTACCTCCATTGATCCCGGATCCACAACAGTTTAGCTCCATTGATTCCGGGTCCACAACAGTTAAGCTCCATTGATCAAGGGTCCACAACAGTTTAGCTCCATTGATCAAGGGTCCAAAACAGTTTAGCTCCATTGATCAAGGGTCCGCAACAGTTTAGCTCCATTGATCCCGGATCCGTAACAGTTTAGCTTCATTGATCCTGGGTCCGCTACAGTTTAGCTCCATTGATCCCGGGTCCACAACAGTTTGGCTCCATTGATCCCGGGTCCACAACAGTTTAGCTCCATTGATCCCGGATCCGTAACAGTTTAGCTTCATTGATCCTGGGTCCGCTACAGTTTAGCTCCATTGATCAAGGGTCCACAACAGTTTAGCTCCATTGATTCCGGGTCCACAACAGTTTAGCTCCATTGATCAAGGGTCCAAAACAGTTTAGCTCCATTGATTCCGGGTCCAAAACAGTTTAGCTCCATTGATCCCGGATCCGCAACAGTTTAGCTTCATTGATCCCGGGTCCGCTACAGTTTAGTTCCATTGATTCCGGGTCCGCAACAGTTTAGCTCCATTGATCCCGGGTCCACAACAGTTTAGCTCCATTGATCCCGGGTCCACAACAGTTTTGCTCCATTGATCCCGGGTCCGCAACAGTTTAGCTCCATTGATCCCGGGTCCACAACAGTTTAGCTCCATTGATTCCGGGTCCACAACAGTTTAGCTCCATTGATCCCGGGTCCACAACAGTTTAGCTCCATTGATCCCGGGTCCGCAACATATTGGCTGCATGGATCCCTGATCCGCAACAGTTTAGCTCAATTGATCCCGGGTCCGCAAAATATTGGCTGCATGGATCCCTGATCCACAACAGTTTAGCTCCATTGATCCCGGGTCCGCAATATATTGGCTGCATGGATCCCTGATCCACAACAGTTTAACTCCAATGATCCCGGGTCCGCAACATATTGGCTGCATGGATCCCTGATCCGCAACAGTTTAGCTCCATTGATTCCGGATCCGCAAAAAAACGGATCCGATTAGCTAAGTACTAACCATGACTTAATTCTCCTAATGATATAAAGCGGGAAAAAGGCTGGATAGGGAACATATTTTTTTAGAATAATAAACTTTAAGATTTTTTCATGAGTTTAACCCTAATTTGCATATGCACCCGGATTAAGTTTTGTCACTCCCAAATTGGTAATGGGTTTAAGACTTCGTGTGTTGGTTTTGAAACCTATTGAGGTTAATAATTAGCCGCTAATTGATGAACATGGAATCCAACAGCTTTATTTATTATCAGTTTTTCCGAAACATTTATTTCAACTGTGAAATTTGCGGGAAAAAAAACGTTTTTTATTTATTATTTAAAGATTAAGAAGTTTAGTCGTTATTATTTTCGTATTATCGAAAGTTTCCTGTCAAAATAATGTTACGCAATATTTCCCGCAATGTCGCGCTGTACTTGTGCATTTGTATCAGTTCAGTGTGTTAATTATATCAAAAAAATAAAGAAATCCTTAACTGTTGACCAACATAATATGGAACTAGCGGAATGAAGGATTGTCACTAATGGTTTTGAGAATGGAATCTGGTAGTATGGCAACCCGAGAGCCTGATTGAAGTTATATTTTTATTCTCTTGATTACTTTGTCTATGATTAACTAAGAAACTCCCTGATCAGGAGGAGAAGGAGAAGATTCCTGAACCTGAGAAGATGGAAGCTTCTAATACTGGGCCAATAGATGTAGAAGATGATGTCGAGGTAGGGCACTTGGATTCAGTTTTTTACATAATTTTTATCTTAAAAGAAAAACAATTGTTTTTAAACTGGTTATTCTTATTATTTGCTTTTATTACACTTTGCCAAAGTTTTGCCAACAACTAACGTGTTTTAATTATCATTTTTTGTTTGTTTTTGCTTTTTTGTAGGATTAAAAGATTGCAAACTTTCACAGAATGTTGAAGTTTTTTTAATCGGTTTTATAAATCGAACCAAACAATTTCATTCCTCATTTCACCCTGCCCAGTTTTCAACCCATTTCTATCTCTAGGTTGTGTCCAATGGAGACAGGAAGAGAGGTGCTGAGGACTCCAATGGAAACCCGAAAGCTAAAAGACCAAAGTAAGATAAAAGTTAAATACTGTTTAAACGTTCACTTGATTTAGCAAGTAAAATTTTCGACCATGATTCAGTTGAAATGCATTATGTTAAAAATGTTGTACTTTGTTGGTTTTATTTATCAAAAACAAATTTCAATTAAGTGTTCGGTTTTCGCTATTTTTTTAGGCAGCATCTTATTGTACAATTCTTTGACATTAAGAAAGAGTGTTTTGATGACAAAATTATTACTTTTCAGGGGGGGGGGGGAATTTGTCAACTTGAATCCATATATTTTTGCGGATCCTGATTCAGGGAGCTAAAATGTTTCAGATCCAATGAATCCTAATTTTTGGCATTGTTTTTTTTAATTTTTAATTGAATTCATAAAAGTAGACGACAATTTTTACTAGTTGGCTATTTTAAATTTGTTCCAGGTATTTTGAATGATTGATTTCAAAGATTTCTTTTTTATTTCTTGACAATTGAACATGTAAAATGTTCAGGGTTGATACGGAGGGAGACGACGACATTCAGATCTGTGAGTCGGAGCCAAGTAAGAAGAAACCAGCTCCTCCTGCAGCAGAAGACGGAGTCATCTGTATTGAGTAATTACGAAGCGAACCGGAGCCAGTGAATATAGTAGTTATACTCCGATACTACTATATCTCACACTTGATTAATTAGTTGTTTGTTTTTTACAAACAGGTTTCTTGTTTTATTCGTGGTTGTACTCGTGTGAACTTTGTACTTCCAGTGTACTCTGAACTTATGTACTAAGTGGAATCTGTACTTAATGTACTTAGTGTACTCTGTATTTTATGTTCTGAGTGTTTTCTTAAATGATATTGCTTAGTGCACATTTTACGGATTGATCCCATTGTACTTTAAACTGATTTTACGTAGTGTACCCTGCACTGACTGTACTCTCTGTACTGGTTTGTACTCAACGTACATGAAGTAAACCTGAACCAATTTCTCCTGCATTTCTCTGTATAAATGTCTCAATTTAATGTGCGCGCCATACCTTTAATTAGTATTAACCTCGGTCCTGTAAACTGGACAGTGTACAGTGAACTGTACGCTATACATTGTATTGTACTCTGAACACTGTACAGTGAATTGTACAGTGACCCAACTATTTATGTATCTTTTGGAATAAGCTTTAGATTTTCAGAAAACTGTAAAAAATGTTTCTTTAAAATAAACTTAATCTTTCCGATTGCGTGTCAGTGAAGAATTTTTGAAGCATTTAGTGAACTAATTCATCTTTCACGTCTGGACAGTGGACAATAAGAATTTTTAAAAATGAATAGAAATTATCTATTGTACCGCCAAGAATTACAAAGGGGAGATAAAAAACAAGATCGAAATGTGACGGAAAGATTACAGTAACCAATAATAAGGGGAAGCAGAAATTGAAATGTCGAGATAGCTTAATAATAGAAAGTTGATAATAGATGGAAAATAGACGAAATGTAGGATGGAGATGGAATGTATTTAAAACGGAGCAAGTCTAATTATAAGATACAAGTTCTAAACTGCATTACTAGATTTAGATATCCAGCCCGAAAAAATTATTAGAATTATTTATTAATGTACAATTATTTAAAATCATTTACATACACGACTGCACACATGTTACGGTATGAATCAAGTTTGAGTACAGTGATAGTTGATAGACTTATTAATGTGACAAAATATATTTAGGTGGTGTAGTTGTACAGCATGGTTTTCAGTCTGTTAATATGACTTTTTAAGATCTCTTTTAAACAGGGATTAGGATCATATTCATATTGATTCAAATAAAAGAAATCTCCAAGTTATTTCTGTAGCTATATAATAAAAGACTGACTGAGTGACTCCAAAATAAGGAGCTCGGTAAAGAACGTTTGTATTGCTCCACAACTTGGTAACTCTGAGCTCCAAGTTAATCTTGATGCGAAGGTTAAGTCTCTCCACAATTTTTAACTCTTTTTCCTATGGAGCTTTATGAGAATGTATGAGTCGCTCCACAATTTGTAAATCTGCTCCAGGCTGCGCTTTCAGTTTTAGTCCGTATTTCTGTCCAAGTCTTAAAACAGCCTTAAAATGTAAATTAGATCATTTCGCGTATCTTCTAAATTTTAAGCAAATGCCAATAAAAAAAAAGAAATTAATTATTAATTTTTTGTAGTTATAAATAATCATTATTCATTACGCACAACATGTTCGTTTAGTTTAGTAGGTTTATTTTGTAAAACAAAAGAACACAAGGTGCATTAAATTTTCATATAAATCTTTTTTGTGACCTTGTTATCCCCTCTGCAGTACATATACACCCTGTACACTCCCATACTTTCTGCATACTCATGTACAGCTTTCATCAAGGCAGTACCAACTCCCTTCCTCCTGTACAGTGTACATAAATAACTCAATGTGATTTATGATTTCCGGAGGAGGGGGGGACGTATTTATTGCTCTGGCGTAAGATTAAGAGTTAAATTTTATATCAGAAGATTAGGAGTTAAAGGAATTGAGCCACAAATCCCAAATTTCTAATACCTATATCTCTGAAACCAGATGGCGTAAACCTTTGATATTTTAAACTTTGATAATTTGATCCATCAGAATTCATAGTTTGAAATATCTAGGGTCTACAACATATTGGATTGTAGAGATAAAGGGATTAAAAAATCAGAGTTTGTGGCAATGACTCCTACTGTTCCTATGTTTATTCGAACTTGGCCGTGAGGTGTGGATTATGAAGGAGAAATAACAACTGCTCTAGATTTTTATCTTAATTAACCTATATTTTTTCTACGGAGGGGGGAAGCACAAAAAATATTATAAAAAAATTTACCAATTTATCCGTGTAGTATCCAAACAGAGCAAACCCTCCACCCTCCTCGGTGTAATCCTTTAACAACAAACAAATATTTAAATACATATATGTATTTATAGAGGAAGAGAGAGAGAGACCCTTTGGTTAAGAGACGTGAACTTTTGGGAAAATGCAGGCATAGAGCAATTAATATCTTCTTTCTGCGACCATCACATTACCCTGCAGAAGCTACCAACCGAACAGGGATAATGTGAAGGCTCTGATATGATACTTCTTGAGTTGTCATAAATTAAACGTCAATTCTACTTTACAAATTTACACTTTTAAACTTTAAATTTATAACAAGAATGTTAAAAAGTCTTGAGTTGCAATGTTTTAAGGTTATAATTGATAAAATAATTGATAATTTTTTTATTTCTTTTTCTCTAAAGATCTGTTTTGTTTTGTTCTGTAGAAAAGGTAAGAAAGTTTTCTAAAAATTTTAAGAATTTAAAAATTTTAATTTTAAAAAACCTGGTAAAAGTCGTCGTTAATACTATTTCCGGTGAGAATTGGAAATATTTTCTGATTCAACTCCCTGAAAATAATCAATTTTGAAAGAGGAAATATAATTTATATCTCCTGTATTCTTGATTAGATAAAGTTTTCATGGCACTGGTGTGATTCTGAAAAGCCAAATTAAAACAGGAAGCCACTCGAAATTACGTCACCAGAGTCCGCGATTTAAATAGTTCGGGAAAATACGGCTCAGGTCTAAGCTGTCGTTAGGGCTTATTTGCGACTTGAGCTTTCGGATTCAAGCTGCATCTTATTTTCCACAGAGTTGAGTTCATAAAATCGGTTTATTATTCTATTTGGCGGATTTTCATGGTAGGAATTGGCCCATTCCGGGTTTTTATGAGAACAACAGGGTCCTGTTGGGTCGAAGATTGGGTCTTAAAGTCGGGTTTAAGGAATTACGGCTCAGTGCCGAACTTTAAAAATCGCGGGCTCGGACAAATTTTCATTTAAAATTTGTATTTTCTAAAATGTTCTGAATTTTTACATCCAATTCATTTCATTTTTGGTTTTTGGTGTTGGCCTTGAGCCTTTTTTAATAATAAAAATGTTGTATAAAGAAACACAACAATTATTTATTATTTAAAATTTGTAAAAGATTTACAAACAATTAAAATATGATTAGCTATAGATTTTTTAAAGCCTTTCATAAGCTTAAAAATCAAATATTTTTAATCTCAACGTCATTTTATGGGCAATCATTGTAATTTGAAGAGGACCTTGCCCTATTTCCGATTCACAATGGTACTTTTTATAAACATATCTAATAAATAATTGGGAAAATATCAACGTTATTGAAACTAGAAAAGCGTTATATTCTCCTTCATTTTTCCTGAGCTTGAACCCACAGTTAAATATTATAAAATTTCAAAGAAAATAAACATGAATATCTCATTCATTTTTTATAAAGCGTCCAAGTAAAGTGCCATTTATTAATGGAGGTATCCTAAATATAACATCTAAACAGTTTCATTATATTTTAAACATGAACCTGAGTCTACATGTCTAGTCTTTGGCAAATATTTTTTTCACGGTCAAATTTTGGTAAGATGCAAGAACAGCAATTGTTTAAAATACTTGCTCTTGCAACACTATGCCAATGCCAAATGTTGACAATAAGAAAATACAAGCAAAAACTAACTTAATGCACTTTACATACCTGAGACAATGAAGAGATGAACTTGAGACCTTTTCAACTCTAATCCGTCCCATACTGTTTATATCTTGTCTAGTTACAAACAGTGGTTAAGCATTTACTGATTTTTAACAACAGAAGGATTTTCAAATAATTTTATATTTTTTTTCTTATTTTTTATTCTATGAAACATTCAGGGATAAGGAAACTTTTAATAATCTATCTATTTTTTACAGTTACATTTTGGGTTTTGAGAGCAAAAAGCAAAAAGTTTTTTACAGTTCTTGATTGATATTTTGCCTCTTTGATGCGGATCCATGGATCCAAATATAATTGTGGATCCGGATCCAATCTTGGAAGCCAAAAAGTTGCGGATCCGGAGCCTAAGCACTGGTTAAAAAACCTAAACTTTTTTATTTTCAAACTTCAAATTAAAATGTCTATTTAATGGATAACCATGAACATTTTATTCAAAAATAAATTTCAAACCTCTTTGTTCCATACATGAAAATATTCTTGTTAATTTCTGAATTTAGAAGTTTTTACAAGTTTACTTTATTAAATCTATTATTCAAATCTTTTTGGTTTCTACCGCTGAGTCAATATAAACGAATAACCATTTGAAAAGCTTGTGTTAATCCGATCTTTCATTGGTCAAAACCTCGGAACATCCTGTTGGGTTGAGAATGAGATTAATTCAATGTTTTCATTTAAAAGGTCCCAGCTTTGACATTTATTTAAAGATGAAAAGTGGCAAGTCCGATTCACAACGTAACTGATAACGGATGAATGAGATTTTCATAATTTTTTGCTGAAAATTGATATTTTTCAATCGGTGTTCCTTTTTAACAGTGACTTGCGGATTTATGCTTTAGAAACAAACAAAAAAAATGCTAAAATTTAACACTTTCAAGATTAAAAGCGAGGATATCTTCCATAAACCATGGTCCAGGATCCTTGAATTTTTTTTATCGATTTTGATGGTTATTATATCGTTAGAACTGACGAGGGTCAACCCAGACCGAAATATATTTTCAATAAATGTGGAACTAACATCTACTTTTTTACTCTACAGAGGTTTGGTCCATCACCATCACTGAATTTTAAAGATATCTTCCTTACTGTTACTCAGATAGTGGTTTAAAGAGTACTGATGTGAATCGGAAATGGATCCCTTGAATTTACATCTCCTGTAGTCTCTTTTAATACCCTGTAGTAGGTGCTCAAAGTTAAGACTGAGAAGGAAGAGTATAGTGGCCTGGAAGTGGAATATCTGGAAGAACTGACGTCTATTATTGCGTCCAACTAAGCTATCTATCTATCAACACTATACAGGCCATATATTATATATATATTATTAGTTCTATCTACTCAATATATAATATATATATACAATGAGTTCTCACTATGTATCTAGAGAAAAATTCCGAACATGGTGTGCGGGGGCGTTCATAATTGTAACAGCAGTTTCATGCACGCAATATGCGCTCATCATCACTCTCCACTCTGCGCTTATATGCGCTATTAATCATTTCTCAACGTTGTGCGCTTATACCCACAATGTTTAGCTGGCTAGGATTCCGATCAAGTAAAAATAAGAATACTATGAAAGCGTCCACAAAAACATAAAATCAAAGTAGAATAAGATAAATTAAACATAATTTACCAATAGGAAACAACCTTCTTGCTATTATAGAGATGGGTTTAAAAACTTCTGCATTGAAGTATTGCAATTTACATAAAGAGTGTCTAATGTCATTTACTTTTTGCTTTAAAGAATTAAACAAAAAGATTTATCCGTAAAAATCTTTACTTTTTAATTTATACATTTTGCCATTATTTGATCTAGTTCCAAATAAAGCAAGGTTTACAGTGCACACGTAAAACCAATCATTACTAAAAATTCGTTGGTGGTGGACAAAACCTCTGTAGAGTAAAAAAGTAGATGTTAGTTCCACATTTATTGAAAATATATTTCGGCCTGGGTTGACCCTTCTCAGTTCTAACGATATAATAACCATCAAAATCGGTAAAAAAGAATAAAATGTTTTTGTTAAAAATCACAAGAAAATACATTACTACAAAAAGAAAAAGTTTAAAGATAATTTTCCTATTCGAAATATCATTTCTTAGATTCTTAAACAAAGCTTTGAGTGTTTTCCCTTACTGCTCTGTTAAGCTCACATTCTGTTACAAGGATATTTTCTGTAAAAATAAAACTACGATCGATTTTGAATTGAATTTTTTTATCATTTGACCTACGATACGCCCCCCCCCCCTTCCCGTTATATTATGATTTGTGAAAACTACGCGAAACCTTCAAGTAAAATTAACGCTTAAATTTATATACGCAAAAAATTGTGTACGCAAAACTTAAATGGCAATGAAACCTGTAAGTAGGTACGACGCGTCCTAGAAGTATGGTTTCCAAATAGGAATTCCATAGCGCGGAATCGTGTGGAATTGCGTTGGAAACCTAGAAGCCCTCTATATAATGATATACAATATACATATATATATAGGGCTTTATTCCAACTGATGATTGGGTTATACCCATGAAACATTTTATCTTGGAAAAAATAAATATCTAAACATCTAAACTGAAAGAAGTTGAAAATACTATATATATAATGATGTAAACTGTTTAAATTCAAGTTACCAATATATATCTTGTTCTTCATCAATAATGAGTGGGTGTGACACACTGATACGATTACTTCCAGAAAAAATCAATCTTCTCTTTTTTAATCAAAATTAGTTTTATTTATTAAGTACATTAAAACTAAACATTTTATTATATCACAATTCTATATATGTTGTTATTAATACTAAGACACCCTGTCACAGATAAGCTCTGACTTTAATATTCTATTAAAGACCAATCCCACCCACTCCCTTTTAACAGAGATATTCA